AAATCAAATGAAAAAAATGAGAAATCCAATGAATATTTAAATTCCACAGTTCGTTTGTTTATTTTTTACTAGATTAATTTATTTTTGCTTCTCATAATATCATTTATTTATGATAATCTCTTTTATTCATTGTAGTCCTTCAATTCCTTAAAAATTTTGTATAACCGTATCCAATATATATATAATAAATTGGATTAATTAATGTAAAATTTTTAAGTTAAATCCAATTCACAAGTTATAATCTATTTATTTCTAAAGTCAGACTAATTAGTTCTTGTAATTTTATTCTATAAATTATTTAATACATTTAAATCAATTATTCAAATTGCATGAAATAATTTTTATTTAAATAACTCTTTGGTACGTCTTTAAATTAGTTATATAATAAAGAATATCTCTTTTCTTTCTTATTATTTTTCTCATTTCACACAAATCTTGAAAGTGTTATTAAGTCCCTTAATCAATTAAGTATCCTCCTCGGAATTGCTATTTTTTAGCATTGTTTAATTTTGATAGTATAATTTTAAATTATTCAAAATCTGAATTAATTTGTTTGGTATGATTATCTAATTATATTAGATTTTATTGATTTTTTTTTTAGTCAACTGGAAAAGTCAATTAAACCACACTTTATTCCAATTTTGTCCTTGAAGAAAAGAAATCAGAATCAAATGGTAGGTAGGTATAGAGCACTCTATACTATCATTATGTAATAGCCATTAATTCAAACTCGTGAGAGATGAGAAAGAGAATAGACTTCCAAGAACTGTTACGGTCATATTGGGCAAATGTAGAATTTATATTTTGATTTTAATCAAAATACTCTTTATTATTTATAGTATTCAAAGATATAGCATTTATATTAGTATTTAGAGTTTAAAATAGAGGATTATGAAAAATTACTCTTTTTTTATATAAATTACCGGTATCCAAATCCTATTATCATGGACCGCTAATCCGGCTCGGGACTTAGTTACAGTTAAGACTCTTTGCCCTTCCCTGAAAAATTACTCTTTTTTTTTTTAAATATAAAAATTACTCTCTTTAATTTTTGATAAAAATACTAGTCAAATTACTATTTTTTATGTAAATTATTGGTATGCAGACCTTATTATAAAGAACCATTAATACGGCTCGAGACTTAATCACAATTTAAGACTATTTGCCCCTCCCTAAGAGATACTCTTTTTTTTTGAAAATATAAAAATTATTCTCTTTAATATTTGATAAAAACGCTAGTCAAACATTAGTCAAACAGTTAATAACTAGTAAGTCAATAAATTGCTGTTGAAACAACTAATTTACCAAAAAGAGCCTACATTTCACATGAAAGTAGCAAATACCCAAATCACAAGTCATCTTAATGCCTTTCCAATTTAATAATTTTAATTTACATTTACAATTTCATAATATTAAAAAAAAAGGGTAAAATCCAATACAATTGCAAATTATAGTCATTTCTCTTTCACTCTTGCATAGTGCCATATCCAATGTCCATCATGTAAACTTTAGAAATAAGTTAAAAGTAATTATTAGTTAGCTTTGACTTTTTCATTCAATTATCACAAAATATATTACTTAAATCTTGCAATTTTTCCATAGTCATGATGATTCACTTGATTCATTTGAATATGTAAGCATCAAAAATAGGATATTGTATTCTTCTTCTTCCTCTTCTTTTTTTTTTTTTTTTTCTAAATCACCAAAAAAAATCTAAATTTTGACATTTCGGCAAATTTTAGTTGATACTTTTAATTTTTTCAATTACTCCTTAAATTTATTTTTCCTTATCGATTATGGCCTTCAGTCGAAATCCATTAGTTTGTTGCTTATTTAACCGTTAGTTGACCACAACGTATTAATTTACATTCACGTTGTGTTCTTTGGCGGCTCATGCTTAATTTTAGAATCTTTAAATTAGAAGATTGTGTTACAACAAATGGACTTTTATGTATCCTCAATAAGCAACTAGCACCTTCAGTAACCTTAAGATCCGAAAAGTAGATTTCTTTACTTCCGGAGATGTATCACTCTACTACATTTAATTGGATTCTGGACATAGATTATAGTTGATAATAAACAGGGTATTGATCGACAAAATTAGAAATATTACCCAAATTTGAAAAAAACTCAAAAATTCAAAAATTTTTTTAATGATTAAACCTTTTTTTTTTAACAAGATTTGCTATATCTAATAATTTATTCCCCTATCTCTTGTGGTAGAGTCAATACTTCAATAATTAGCCATTACAAGTAATCAAACAAAACCAAGTTCTCCTCTCCAATTATATATTATCAAAATATTTATAGAAAATCAAAAGCAAATCCAAAGAAAACTATCAAAATCACAAATTGGCAAGTAAGCAACTTAATATCAAAGACAAGGATGACTTTTTTCCATTGATATGTTGGCCAGCTATAAGGTTTTTTATTGAACCTCATGAAAAAAAAATAAGATTCTACTTAAGAATTCAATAAGCTTTATTACATCCAATTAATTCAATGTATCATGTGATTACAACTTAATAGACATTACGGCTATATGTTTATATAGGCATCTCTTACATATATTATTATATCAAAAGTCATAGTAGAATGATATTTTCTTCATAAATTGTGTTCTAGTTGTAATGTTTAGAATATTTATTTAAGTGAATATATAAATTCATCCTGAATTTTATAACTTTAACCTTGAGACAACTTGAATTTTGCGGATGATATGTTGTTTACCTGAATTTGTAAATTTTAATAATATTACATACCTTTGGATAATAATATCAATAATTTTTAGGATTTTTTACTTTTTACTTTCAAAATATTGACTTGACATGTACTTAACATGACTTTTTAAATATTAATTTTCATAAATTTTAATTTTTTTAATGAGTATTTAATTTATTTAATTTTTACAAGTTAAAATGTTCAATAAAAATGAAAATTGAAGTGTTTATTATATGTAATTTTATAAATTGAAGCATTTGATGGGTTAAGTAAAAGTTTTAGGTGCCACAAAGTTAAAGTAACAAAGTTTAAGAGTGAATTTATATATTTGGCCATATTTATTTCCTATTATTATAATAAGTATGATATAATTATTCAATTTGGCTAACGAGGCATTAACTCGATATTCGAGGTTGACTATTTTGTATGAATCTACTCTTCAAACTAGGTTTTATTTGAGGGCTGATCTTGTAAGGGCAGTGTGACCTCGAGTTTTTTCTTAAGAGCATTTCTACCCTCGTATGTATTAAAAAAAAAAAAAAAAAAAAATCTACCTCTGCAAACTAGGTTTTATTGAGGGCTGATTTGTCAAGGGCAGTGTGACCTCGAGTTTTTTCTTAGAGCATTTCTACCCTCGTATGTATTAAAAAAAAAAAAAAAAATAAAAAAAAAAAAAAAAAAAATCTGAAAGCACAGTCTAGGAAAAACAAAACAAAAATACAAAATATTTTTAGAAAAAAATAGACTTAAACTCAATTCTACACCAACCTTTTAATCTTGTAGGGCAACTTAGTGTCCTAAAAATAATAATCTCACCAAATCATTCTCATAAGAAAAATAATGGTGTCCCTAAGATGGCTTATTGGGGCATTTTTGATGTCCCCTTGGCCTTGTCATTGGGGCATCATATCTTTCCCCAAAATCTTTTCTTCCTTTGGAAGCACATGATTAGATTATTAAAATGTTTTAAAGAATATTATGTACAAAAAGCATCTTTACAAACATTATCAAACTTTTGAAATTTGATCTTTACAAATATTATGAGGGCTGCACAAAGAAGAATTTGCAAAAGAGAAATTAATCTTTTTTGAAATTTTTAAATGAAATTTATAATAAACTTGATAATTATCGAAAATTTCTAAATATTTTTAGTGAAAATCTTATTCCATCAAATGAATTAAAAATAAATAATAAAAGCTTCCCCAGGCTCTATGTTAGAATTAGCTAGCCCAACCCTTGAAGTGTAATTCTAGGCCCAATCATAACTATGCAAATCTTTTTGGGTCGAAAGTGTGGCCTGTCAATATTCTGATGGGCTGGGCTGCAAGTTACTTTACCCATAACACTTCTTAAGTATTAATTAATTTTTCCATAACGTTACGTTGTTATTATTCGTCGCTTATTTTTTTATTTTATAATATTAATAATATAGTATTAAATTGAAATATTAATTTATTTTCACATGAAGAAAGAAAAACAAAAGATAAATAAATTAATCTATAATTATAAACTTGGCTTTTTTTTTAAATTGTCATACTTACCAAATAAATCGATTATGATATATATTTTTGCTTTATGTAGATATTATGATTTTCTAATTAAATTTATCTCTATAAATTTTATATTTTTATTTTGTGATTCTCTAATAATTTTTTCTAATCTTTCTACTGTTTTCTAAAACACAAATAGAAAACAATAATTTTATATGATTAATAATATTATGAAAATAAAAATTAAATTGAATTCCATCAATTTTTATGGAATTAATTTAAGCTATACCTCGTGAAACTTAATACCGAGAATATGTGATATTTAGTTTAATTTGATTGGATTGTCCGGTAAAATTAGTTTGGTTCAAAAGACGGAAAATTTGAGTTTGATTATTATCAATTTTGGTTTGATTTTTCTATAAATGAAATCAAATAGACCGAAATAATTGAATTGCAAGTAGGAATAGGAGATTACTTCGAGCTTTTTGTAAAGAAAGCAAGCACACTCTGGTTCAAATAAGAAAAGCAAACTCAATCGATTTTATTCTGATCGATTTTTATCTATTCGGTTTCTGCTTTTTCAATGTTCGGTATTTTCGGTTAGGGTGGTTCGGTTGCCATTCAGCTACTTTACTTGTATCCTTTTAAATAAAAGGAAAAAAAAAAAAAAAAAAAAGAAAAAAAAAAAAAAAAAAATCATCAATGAAGAAAAGAAGCCTATGAGCCAAGAACTTGATAGTGCTACAAGCAAGCAGCAGCGGTAGTTGCATTCTTCGCCATCCTAATAAAGGAAAAAAAAAAAAAAAAAAATCATCAATGAAGAAAAGAAGCCATGAGCAAGAACTTGATAGTAGCTACAGCAGCAGCAGCGGTAGTTGCATTCTTCGCCATCCTAATAACCAATCCCAACAATATCTTTGCACCACCTCCAATACCATCGTCTCTTGATCGTCTCCACTACGCAGAGGTCGTTCATGTCACTGGAGCTGTAGGACCGGAGAGTCTGGTCTTCGATCCTAATGGAGAAGGACCTTACACTGGCGTCGCGGATGGTAGAGTTCTCAAATGGCTTGGAGATGGCCGTGGGTGGCTTGATTTTGCCACCACCACTTCTGATAGGTAACAAACCATCTGGGTATTTTTTTTTCTTTTCAGGGAATTAAGTTTATTTGTTAAAATTTTATTAAAGAGCTATGTTCTTCACTGTCTTCTATTTCCAAGGTAGCAATTACAATTAATTGGTAGTTTGTAGTAATTCATCAAGAATAGGAGACTTGGTTTTTAAGCTGGAAATGTGTAGAGAAATTATCGGGATTTGGGATTAGAATAGTTAAGCTCTAGCTCCAAAATTATCAACAAAACCAGTTCTTTGCTTATATTGTCACCAACAACATCAATTTCAACAATTGTCAAAGAAAATAAAGGTTATGAAGATGGAGTTATACTGTATATAAGGCTTTTCAATTATCCAAACCATGCATTCAATTTTCACCTCTTGATTCTAGAACTGCACACTGAAGTTCCATTCTATTATTCTGTGAAATAGGTCTTTTAACGCTGTTATGATTGTTTTCTTGCTTGTCTACACTCTGTATTTCTTTGTTCTCCACGACCTTAGTAAGCCATATTTTTGCTTTCGCGAACAATGCACATGATAGTCTAGGTCATCTTGCAACTTTCCTTTTAGCTTAGCTTATATACTCCCTCTGTTATTGTCCCAAAGAGGTTCTCACTTTCTCTTTTTACATAGTGGAAGAGAATATAATAAATATTATGTCAACTCATATTTTTTATATCATTTTCTTTAATATCCCTTACATATTCCTCATACCATAATAAAGGCACCCTCTAAATTGGAGAACTAATAAGGGATAAAATAAGAAAATTAACTCTAAAAATTTTTGACTTTGTAGACATGTACATATACTTTGGGACATCCAAAAAAAGGAATAGTAGATAACTTTTTTGAGATTACTAAGAGTTGAGCACGGCTCAACTTGCAATGAAGGACCCATCATTCACTTCTCCTAAATCACATGAAGAATCCTTTTGACTCCCAATGGAGTTTCCTTTCTAGGTCTTGCATTGTTTCCTGTAGGTCATGATGTGCCTTAAGATAGCTCTCTTTTGTCTCCTTCCTGCCAGGAATCCACTCCTGTGTTGTTGCTCTGCTGCTTCTAAGAAAAGAGACCAGTTTTCTAACAAGAACTTGCTATACCTACCAAGTTCTTTTTGTCCTTTACATGTAATAAGTTTTGTTATGCTTAAGGTTTTAGTCATCATTACCATTGGGCCAATACCCAATAGTTAAGTGCTTCTTTTATAGTACAGAATGCTAAGTTTCAACTTCTCTCATTGTCCTTCCTCTCCCATCTATCAAAAAGGTTCTGGTCTCCAATTACATGATCCATTATCTTCCATATGAATTTTCATTAATTCTAATGACTTCATTTTTCTTTTTTTCGGTATATGGTGTTCAGTGATGTGCCTCATATCAATCTGGTTGAATCTGAATGAGAGATTGGCTCTTGAGTGGCATTCTAGCATTGGTATTGTCTTTTTTTTTAAAAAAAAATTGCAATAAGGCAACTGTTGCATATTATAAAAGGAGTTTACTTATTATGTCAGTGAAGAATCATGAAAAATCACATGCATGTCAATCTCAATCATATGGTTTAGTGTGCTAGTAGTAGTCTAGGAACCATTGTTTCCAAGGGTGGACTTTACTCTCCGTTTGTCCATAAATTAGGATATAATCAGATGGAGGACTAGGATTATTTTGGTTCCTATTTGTCACTTCCTTTCTCTGTTAGATGATATTGATTTGCATGCAAATAAATAGAGCTTTTTGAAGACAAATTTTCTCTTGCTTGTTATTTCTATGCATGCAGTCAGACCATGTATAATTAACTTAGTGCCATTAATTAAGATCCAACCGCAAGATATTATCCTTATTGCTTGGTTTCTTCCAATTATTACTCAAGGAAGTTCAGATTTGTATCTGTAGGGAGTCAATTTGGTATTCACTGTTGGCGTTATTATTTATGTTTGATTGTCTGCTTTGAATGCATAGTTTTTCATTAGAGCAAAGTCTTTGGCAACAGTTGGGATAAGCGTACAGCAGTCAATACCAAGATATATTGGTTCACAACTTGTTTAACCATTAATGAGAATGGAGCATGCAACCTTTGCTCTAACTTTCATTTTCTTGGTAAATATGCATTTAATCATTGGTGATGCTTTAATTCTAGTTTGATTAACTCCATTCACAATTATGTAAAGCCTAATTTGTAAAGTAGTTGCTAGATTAGTGCCTAATAGAAACAAGAAGAAACAGTTGCAGTTGTCAATTATGTGTGAATTCCAAATGTTCCATGCAAGACTTACCAATATTTTGCTGGAGTATCAATTTTCTTTTCCATTTTTAACTAGGCAATTATTAGGTTTTCATAATTTTGACTAAATGGAACAATCTCAATTTATAAGGAGGGAATGCATTCGCCCATTTGCACCAGAAATGGAGCATGTGTGTGGAAGGCCATTGGGACTGCGATTTGATAAAAAAACTGGAGATCTCTACATTGCTGATGCCTATTTAGGTCTTCAAGTAGTTGGTCCAAATGGAGGTTTGGCGAGACCAGTGGTCACTGAAGTTAAAGGCCACCCCTTGCGCTTCACCAATGATATGGATATCGATGAGCAAGAAGATGTGATTTACTTCACAGATACAAGCAAAGTCTTTCAAAGGAGGTAATTTTACCGGAAAAACTTGTCATCATTCTTGAACTTGAAGATTTTAGCTTGAAGTCCACGAGAAATGTTTTATTTTATGGCCATGCTTTTAATAGTTTTCTCAAGAAAATGAGAGAATACCTTCCAAGCGATTGGAAATGAAAAAAATGGTTAATATATTTAAGATAATTATGCACTTACAAAATAGAGTCTAGGGAGAATAGAATCAATTTATGGGATTCTGACTTGTAGACTTTTATGTTTGATTAGAACAAGTCTGTATCTCAAAACAAACTTGTTGCAGGGTTTATAAAATCAATTGTGTTATAACATCTGTGAATAAGGATAATTTCACAGTGAAATAACATGATTCTCTTTAAAACACTTTTGAGTTTGATGCTCCCTGAGGTTGGAGTTCCCAAATGTCGAGGAAACAGGTAACTATTATGTCAAAGACACCTAAAAACATCTTTAGGGTTATTTTTACCCTTCCCTTGCAAAGCATCTGAGCTAATTGAGTCTTCTTTTTCCTCGGTGTAAAACTCAGTTTTGCATTGAGATATTGCTTCTGGATATAGAAGTGGTGTAAAAGCTCATTCCTCTATTCGTAGCCTGAGAAAAGTTATTTACTGTTCTCCTTTTCTTTTTCCAGGCAATTTATAGCATCCGTCTTGAGCAATGACAAGACAGGTAGATTACTGAAGTTCGATAAATCAAGCAAAGAAGTAACTATATTACTAGAAGGCCTTGCATTTGCCAATGGTGTAGCACTGAGCAAAGACAACTCCTTTGTGCTGGTGGCAGAAACCACTACTTGTCAAGTTTTAAGGTTTTGGCTTCATGGTCCTGACGCTGGAAAGGTCGATGTTTTCGCAGTGCTTCCGGGATTTCCAGATAATATCAGAAGAAACTCGAAAGGAGAGTTTTGGGTAGCTTTACATGCCAAGAAAGGGCTTTTTGCAAAGTTGGTTCTTTCTAACTCATGGATTGGAAAGACATTGTTAAAACTTCCACTTAGCTTTAAGCAACTGCATTCACTGTTGGTAGGAGGGAAACCTCATGCAACTGCTATAAAGCTGAGTGAGGATGGGAAAATTCTGGAAGTTTTAGAAGATTGTGAGGGAAAGAAATTGAGGTTTATTAGTGAAGTGGAAGAGAAGGATGGTAAGTTGTTGATTGGGTCGGTATTGATGCCTTTCCTTGGTGTTTATAATTTGCAGTAAAGATGCTCACATATATGAAGGGATTTTGTGTAATTTGCATTTATTGCCTAGTAAGTGAAACCCCAATTGTTGTGTTTTAAATGTTTATGCTCTGTTTGGGATTGAGTTAAAACTGTCTTTCAGAATTATTTTTTCCATGGTATTAGAAAGTTCACTAAGTCCTTTTGAGGAAAATAATATATCCAATTTTTTTTTTTTTTGAAAAATATTTGAGTGAATTATTATTAGTATTGTTTTGGTTCGCACACATGCTTCCATGTTCAGACTAGAGGTGATATTTAGGCAAATTCGGATAAAATATTTCAATGAGTAACGATATTGTAATTTTATTTATTTTTGGTATGATCAGGAGATTTAATTCCCTTCGAACCGCAGAATTTAAAAGTTTTTGGCACTCCGAGCAAAATAGCGATATTGTAATTTAATTCATCATTTTAGTGAAATACAAAATACATCAGTGAAAATTTTTTCAGTTCTTTTTTGTACAAAATTACCCTCCTTTTCTTTCTATTGTTGTCCATGACTCTTCTGTAACACCCTATGTTTTAGGGCAAAAGGTCAACATATTTTTTTAACAATTAGCCCGAATTATGGGATGAAGTGATTTCATATGCAAACGAAGTTGTTTGTTTTACTATAATAATTAATAAACCAGACTCAAACATAAAAAGAAACATCTTTGAATTGAAGGATGCCTTGGCATTATCAGATATAAGGTCATGTTTAACCTAGGTCATACAATGGAAAATCAACAGTAACTAAACATAGAGAGGCATAAAAGAATACGAAGTCCCCAATTTGATCTAAATAATTACTCAATAGATAGCTTTCAATTTCTCCAACACATGAGGTATATTTTCTTCTCCTTTCTTTCTTTCTTTTTTTAGAGCTAGGGAGCGCCATCCCATTCGGTTATAAAGGAATTTGGCCTTTCGAATTTGAACTTGTAACTTGAGGTTTAGCTTCGATTAATGTTGGCAGTACTCTCTCTGTCTCAAAATATAAGTCATTTTTTAGTTATTATTTTGTCTCAAAAAATAGGTTGTTTTGAGTATGCAAGGAATAATATATGATGATACAATAAATACCTTCGCAAATTACTTTTGGTTTTGAAATAATAAATAATTTGGTCAAATTTTATTTGTTTTGTTATAATTTTAGGAAAATTAATTGCTTATTTAATACTCGTACAAAAACCTTAAACTGACCTGTATTTTTGGACTTAAAAAGCATTATGTAATCTCATTTTTTTTTTTTTTTTTTAAACTTAAACTGACCTGTATTTTTGGACTTAAAAAGCATTTAGTAATCTCATTTTTTTTTTTTTTTTTTAGAGATTATTTCAATTCTAGAGCTGTGAGTAGGAAAAATCTATTGACTAATAAGGTTTTGGGATTGATTAAATATTGTGAACCCTTTTTTTTTTTTTTTTTAGAGATTATCAATTCTAGAGCATGTGAGTAGGAAAAATCTATTGACTTAATAAGGTTTTGGGATTGATAAATATTGTGAACCCATGGATATACTCTTTCAACAACTCCATAAAAGGGATTCTCCAATCAAATTGGATTGCGATTGTCATCCCTTTTGGGTTGGTGGGGGAATGAAACGTAGTGAACATAATAAACCTCTCTTCAAAAGTTTGGAATTTTAGAGGGTCATTGCTTCCTCCAACTCCAACTTGCTCCACACTAGTATATTTCTTGCCCACAAAAAATTAATGCTTACCTTATTAATTAGTTGTATAGCAAGTCTTTTTTTTTTCCTTCCTCCTAACTTTTTTTTTTTTTATTTAAATGTGTCCTAGCTAGACAGAAACTAGAAAATAAGCTACAAAAAACTAGAAAATAAAGTTTAGGCACTGAAATGAAATGTTTTGAATTGTTTAGGGTAAAAAATGTAATTTTTTATACTTTGAAGGAATAACATTTAAAACAAATTGGGGGCTAAGCTTTCAACTGGGTCGCTTTTTTTATTTGTTTGAGTACTGGAATAAGGTGATTCAAACTCGAATCTATTATATATACACTTACTATGTCTTGGTGAGCCAACTGGTCGCCTTTCATTATATCTTTTGCATTTTATTAATTCCTCTATCTTTTTTAGTTATTTCCTTTCAATAAGCACAATTTTGTAGTTTTGCATAGCCATTAATCAAACTATTATGTTTAGTAAATCTATTAACTAGAATAATTACATTTAGTGCCAATTTAGCTATGAATTGTAAAGATTTATATTTTATTGATAATTAATTATTTTACGCTTAGTTATTTTTTTCATGGATGAGAACTACGCATGCTCTTCCATATTTTAACTGTAATTCACAGAGTTTAAATTGTTGAAATCTACAACAGTAAAATTTTTAAACATTAATGATCCTTTTGTCAGTAAATTAATACCAACCTCTAATAATACATTCAATGTAATCTTTAAAAACTAATTGTAACATCATGAAAAGCTTGTCATACTTAATTAATCAAAATTAGGTCAACTGATAATTAGGTACGCCTAAATTCTAAATTTAATGAACGGAAAAATACTTGTACAATGGTAATCACATAGGTACTGGCTTATGTTCAGCAAAATTAGCTATTAAATATTTTAATAGCGGTTAGCTATTATACTCGTTGCAAATTATTTTATTAGCGTTTATCTGACTCTCCCAGATTTTAAACAATATCCAACACTACGAATAATAAAGGTTTGATATTAGTTAAAATACTGAAGCTCACCTTGAAAATTGTTGCTAAGTACACCGAATCTAATAAAACATAATTAGTCTCATACCAAAAAATAAATTTCTTTTTTGGGTTTTAGTTGTTTTTTTCCTACTTTTTTCAACTAGAGATAATGATTCAAAAAATGCACGTAACAATACAAAAATGACACATCTCTACTCTATCCTCTTCTTATCATAAGAATTCTGCTTCATTATCTCAATATCTTCTCTTTCAATCTCTATTTCCCATTTCTATTCTTCCATGGCCATCACCTCGAAGATATTTTTCATTACAACAACTGTAACAGTCCTAATATCTACCTTAATTGCCATTAATCGTAGTACCAAGTTATCATATCAACCCTCTAATAATAATAATAATAATATAAAATTTTCTTTTAGTGATCATGACAACCTTAAGCAACAAGAATCGGAGACTCTTTGCCTCGGTGGTGCAACCGGACCTGAAAGTTTTGCGTTCGATAAGTTTGGCCGGGGTGCCTATACCGGTGTATCCGACGGTCGAATTCTCAAGTGGGAGGAAAATGAACAACGTTGGATAGATTTTGCTGTTACTTCTTATCATAGGTAATATATACTTCATGCTTACATATATGTACTTAATACTAATAATTAATTAAATGTGACCATGTAAAATTGTAAATAGAATCGGGTGCGAGGAACCTTGTAATCGGTACGAGATGGAGCCAATCTGTGGGCGTCCATTAGGTTTGTGGCTCAACGAATCAAACGGTGAATTGTACATTGCTGATGCTTACATGGGACTTCTAAAGGTCGGGTCTGAAGGTGGGTTGGCCACTAAGATCGTGTCATGTGCCGATAAGGTACCGTTCAACTTCACCAATAACCTGGACGTTGATCAGTCAAGTGGAGCCGTCTATTTCACCGATAGCAGTTCCCGATACCAAAGAAGGTACTCCATTCGTCTCAAACTTATAGTTGTTAAGTTTAAACGTTCAGGACTCCAAATATATTAGATTTATGACAAATTTAAAATTGAAAGTTACGGATAGACATTAAAATTATTAATGAGCTCAATTATAGTTAAGTAATTCATGGATACTATCTATTTTCATTGTTAAAACTTTGTTCGGCAACAGTTTTTTTAAGTAGTTTTTATTTTTGTTTAGTAACATAACAGCTACTGGAATAACTAATTTTGTCGAACGGACTCTAAATCGACCATATTACGTACACTTTTTGTTTTTTGGATTGATTTATTTTTTCTTTTTCTTTTTTTGGCAGGGATTACATATATGTGATATTAAGTGGAGATAAATCAGGAAGGCTATTGAAATATGACCTACAAAGCAAACAAGTGAAAGTACTAATTGGCAACCTTTCATTTCCAAATGGAGTAGTAATAAGTAAAGATGGAAACTCCATTTTATTTGCAGAGACCACCACTTGTAGAATTCTAAAATATTGGATAAAAACACCTAAAATTGGAACTCTTGAAGTTTTTGCAGAACTACCAGGATTTCCTGACAACATAAAAAAGAGCCCTAGAGGAGGATATTGGGTTGCTATTAACTCAAAGAGAGAAAAAATCTTGGAATGGACCATTTTAAACCCTTGGATTGGGAATTCTTTGATTAAGCTTCCTCTTGATTTGATGAAAGCTTATTCAATTTTGGGTAAGTATAGAAAGAGTAGTTGCATGGCAATTAGGTTAAGTGAAGATGGAGACATATTGGAAGTTTTTGAAGATAGAAAAAGATTCAAGTCCTTAAGTGAAGTTAATGAAAAAGATGGTAAATTATGGATTGGATCAATTGATTTGCCTTTTGTAGGAAGGTATGATATTTGAATTGCCTAAGATATTTTTATTTTGTATTAATTAATCAAAGATAGGAAGCAAAAATAAAAGAAAGATGAAATCATGAAATTTGAATCATAATTTATAATTTATTAATTAATGAATATCGACTCGAACGGATACTATCAGAAATAAAATATTATTATTGTATCAAGATATTTTATTTATATCAAAATTGATAAAATTGTATATTGCATTTCATTTGAGTCAAATATAGTTTCTTATTATTATTTTTTATTTCCATTAATATTTTGTTGTCTTTTTAATACAGAAGCAATTCCATTTTGTTAACATTAAAATTGAACAAATTAACTTTTAAAATTAAATAATCAGTTTAGTCTCCTTTATTTCCGTTAATAATAATAAAACTGTTTGTACATTAAATATAAGTATTTCAAACCAAATGTATGAATATGAAATTTTAACTAGATTTAGGTATGGTTAGTTTAAATTTTAGCAGTTATTTTATATATAATATGTACATACATAACAGGATTTATTAAAATGTTATCCCGCATTTTGCAAAATATGGATTCATGAAAACGATGCCGCTTTAAGCCCTCGTGCGCCGCTCAACATGACACTACAGTGCAGTTGACTGACTTGACTCCCTATCCAAACGTTATAAATATCCACAGCAAATATAAAATAAAATATCGACAAATGTATATTAGGATTCGATAAACCTCAAAAACCCAAACGGAAATGGCTCCAGCGCTCTACTTCAGGCCCTGCATTTCTCCTCCTTCAACTAATTGGAGGTCCAAACTCTCTTTCTCTCTCTTACTATTAAATCTTCCATCGCCATTACTCATTACCTTTTCTTTTTTTTTTGTTGTTTTTTCTATTTCAGCCATCCAAAAATGCTTGTAAATCCTCTCAATGCAATCCCCAAAATCTATGGAGGTGGAGGTGGAGGAGGAGGAAGAGGAAGATTGGAGGTAGTAGCAAAGGGTATGTTATCTCAAAGGAAGTTCATGCAGAAGAGAAGGAAAGTGGAAGTGTTCAAAGACGCAGCAGATGAAGCTGACCAGAAGAATTGGAGAGGAGTCATGAAGCAAATTGAAGAAACTGGTTCTGCCGTTGCAGTTCTTAAAAGCAAAAGGATTACCCAAAATCAGGATCTTCCTAAAGATCTTGTTTTGGGTACTTTGGTTAGATTTCAGCAGTTAAAGAAATGGAATCTTGTTTCTGAGGTTTGTAATTGAAGAAAGTTTTGCCTTTTTTGCCATTTTTTTGGTTATAAATAAGTAGGGAGTTTACATGTTTTTGAATTTTGGAAGTTTCATATGATACAGATTATAAGTAGAGATTATAATTTTTTTGGTGTATTATAAATAAGTAGGGATTTTGCCAAGTTTTTGAATTTTGCAAATCCTTATTATGAAGATTATAGCTAGTGAAAAGTTATATGCTACTTTCTGAGATGCAAGTAGTTGGGAACTTTCCATAAGGTATAGCATCTCAGCTGATTAATTTAATAGATTTATCAATCTTGGTGTTAATTTTGAATATGTGTGCTTTTGAATTAATTTCAATCTGAATAGGTGTGCATTTGACTTGGAAGGGAATTTGAATTTGGTGAAAAGTTACAATACTAATTCTAATATTGGATTCAAATCCATGTCATTTCAAATGTTATTGGTTTTGGTGAATCTTGTGTATATAGCTTACTCATTTAGTTTCTTATTTTCTTCAAGAGACAGGAGGTTTTGCTCTTTTGAGATCATTTTTGTTCGTGTTTTTATGATTTTGATGTTTTGCTTGCTTATTGTGTCGTAATTTGCTTTATTACTAGATATTAGAATGGCTTCGGACACAGCATTGGTGGGACTTCAGTGAAATGGATTCGATCAGGCTTATCACAGCTCATGGAAAGCAAGGGAACTTCAATGAGGCTGAGAAGATTTTAACTTATATGAATAAGATGGGCTATGCACCGAATGTTGTATCCCATACTGCCCTTATGGAGGCCTATGGAAGAGGAGGTCGGTATAATAATGCTGAAGCCATATTCCGAAGGATGCAAACTTTGGGACCTGAGCCTTCAGCTTTGACTTATCAAATAATACTAAAAACATTTGTTGAGGTAATCTATCTGTGCTGTGAGTACTTACACATGTATGTACTTGGTCACATGTGCATGCGCTTTTGCTTTCTATAATACATCAATTTAAGTTGATTTACAATACATGTTATTTTGCTTTCAGTCTCTCTCTTTTATTTTTCATACGAATATAATTCTACTGACATGGCTAGAATATCAAGATAATGTTCTTATTTGTGAGCATGCAAAAATTTTAAGCATGATTTTAGAAATACAATCAACTTGTTTCTGTGTGGTTGAACCTTGGGAAGATGGCTGGAACTTGGATGTGCTTAATCAATTGTGGTCCAATAATATTTTGGGATACATATAAAGTGTAATCATGCATTTACATACCTACAAATATCAATGTTTTCTAAGTTTATTTTGTTATCTTCCGCGTGCTACACAAATATTGAGCAGCTATATGATATTCCTGTTGATTGACTCTTCTTCTAGACTTAATGGCATAGGGGCAATTTATCCATTTACTTTCATTAAAGAAAAGGATGGCGATCTATGCTTCACTTACATTTGTAGATTTTAAGAGAATAGTTTACTTTGGATATCCTCAACAAGCCCTAGAATGAAAATTTTTTCTTTCTCTAGATCTTAATGGTACTTGGTGGAAAATTTTGCTCTATATTTGCTAAATACATATCACAGTTAACTTTCTGCCAAAACCACCAAACAACCATGGAGGAGAAAAAAGAACAAGAAAATGAAAGAAAGAAAACTCAATATGAACACATTTGGCTGTGCATTAGTGCATATTTTTCTTCCCTTTTTCTCTTCATTCTTCATAGCATGGTCAAATAAGTTGGCAGTAAGATGCTTCTCTTTAGAAACTCCAAAAGTATTATTGTTCTTGGCTGTATCCCTTGTGGTGAATAAAGTCCTGTAGTTGGACTCAAATGTATTATAATTGGGCACCAATTGTGAAATGGTATACTTTGAACAATTCTGGTTTCACTGTTGTATAGAGATGTGAAAATTATGATGCAAGAATGGCCATGTTATTTCCCTCATACTTGTTGGGCCTATCTAATAATTTCTCCATAGAAATAACTTGATCAGGATTTTTCTGCTGCAATTGTAGAATTACTATAAATGTGGAACATTTTAGAGATATACCTGATGCTTTGACATATTTATTTCCTACTTCTGTTCATATTTTTACTTGCTGGGGTTGAATACTGCTGCATTAGATTTGTTTTAGGTCACTGGGAATGAGTAATGATGTAGAATGCTAAGTTCTCACACCAAAAACAATTTAATTCAACTAAAACACAAATGTACCTGGATGATAAAACCTTAAATAGATAAGCTAAAATAAGAAAGCTAAATAGTCGTATTAAAATATAAGATAAAACATAAATTACTTATTAAATTTCCTGCTACCAAAAGAAGCATAAAGATGACAAAGAGGCCCTTCTCTCCGAGATGGATGAAGTTCATGGTTCATAATTGGCTACATCTATGAGAGGAATACAAACTATTCGAGTTAATCTGAAAAGTCTTATGTTAATATTGGCTCGCTGGTCTTACCACTCATGCTTTATATTGTGTAGAGCTGCCATATCATGAAACTTGCAATAGAATAATTATCTTTGGAATTACTGCAGGGAAACAAGTTTAAGGAAGCTGAAGAAGTCTTTGAGCCTCTATTGAGTGACGAAAGGGCACCTTTAAAACCAGATCAGAAAATGTTCCACATGATGATATACATGTATAGAAAAGCTGGGAATTATGAAAAAGCTCGTAAAATGTTTTCACTAATGACCCAGCGAGAAATCCCACATTCTACTGTCACTTATAATAGTTTAATGTCATTCGAGACCAATTACAAGGAAGTTTCAAAGATTTATGACCAGGTAAAATTTTAAAAAAGATTCTTTTTTTACATCAGAATGTTTGCACTCACTGTTCCATTACAGTTACTAATGTCACTGTTTTAAAAATAAGAAAAAGATTATCCCAAAAACTTCATCAAAGAATCAATTGTGTGATTAGTTTTCTGATTTTTTGTTTTGATATTTTTTCATGTACAATTTCTGTTAACCTCAGTTTTTAATTTATCTCTTAAGTTATTGATATGACATATGTACCTTCTTTTCCTTGATATGGTCTTTTATTTTTTATTTGTTTTTCCTTTGGTAGCATTCCTAATATGACTAATTGCCAATTTGGCTAAGATTTTAGTAACAATCAGTGGTTGGATGATGAATTGCTAGTGTGAGGAGTTTGCTATCAAGAAAAATAGAGACAGCAATCTTTAAATTTCCACCATTAGTGGTTGTGTTTTATACATAATGCTAATATCTAATCACCGATAGAATTTCCAGCCTTTGAGCATTAAGGTATTTTTGATCTAAAATAACCATTCACCTTTAGTTGCAGGTACACCAGTACAATTAGAGAAAAAGAAAATATAGTAATTCCTAGGCTGTGTGGCCAGAGCGTCTTAAATTATAATATGCATTGTATGCCTCTTACTGGCATTAGATTAAGTTGTGTTTTGCTTCCAATTATTTTATTGCTAATCACTCTCAGCACAAATAAAGAATATCCTTTCTTGTGCAACAGAGAAAACTTTATCTATGAAATTTTTGTGTAAGTTCATGAACTTACTGGTTAAACATTACTTCTTACGTGTTGTAAAAGTTTACTTCTTGTAATTGTTTCATGAAAAGGACAGATTGAGCTTGCAAGTAAATATTCACTTCTTATGGTAGTTGTCAATTAACCCACTTATCATAAGGCCATCCTTTGCCACTAGTTCTTTTGAATTGGTATATCTATAGTTAGGGGGAAATCATTGCAAAAAGCTGAATTGAGTCATTTTATTTCAATTGCAGTCAATTGGTAACTAAAGTTCTAAACTATAATTTTTCATTGATTGATCCAACAATTAACTCCACTTAAAAGTTCCATTAACTATTTTACTAAAGTAAATGCTGGTCCCACTAAACAATGACAAATCTAGTAATATCAATATACGTGGCGTGTTTATGAAAATAAAATAAGAAAAGTAACTTACCATGTCTCTTATCAGACTTGACATTGTTCAATGGGAGTCCCATTTACTTTCCTTAAAATAGTTAACAGAACTGTTAAATGGCACTAATCGTTGGATCAACTTGATGAAAAAAATTATACTTTAGATATCCAATTGATATATGAGGACTCAGTTGAGCTTTTCTAATGTTCAAGGGGAATTTGGATTTCCCCTCTCCAAAATTAGCATTCTGTCATCAAAGAACCTTTGGTGGATATCTATTCTCGCCAGGCATAAACATAACATACCACTTGTTAAGATATATCAAGGATACTAGTGCACATTTTCAAGTAAAGTAAATTTGTTTCTCCACAGTTGTTTGCTTTGCTGATACGAACGAAAAACCAAAAGTTCCACACCTTTAAGATTCTAGCATCTGCCTTGAGTGACAAATGCAATTGCTTTCTACTGAACGTGTTGAAAGATCAAATGTTTTTGGTGTTCTATAAGTTGGACCTTTTTGTTTTTTACTTTTCCTCTTTTTCTTCTGTTTTAATATTTTTTTATAATAAAATCAGATTTTGAAGTAAATGCATACTTTTAGATGCAAAGATCTGGTCTTCAACCTGATGTTGTGAGCTATGCATTACTCATCAATGCTTATGGAAAAGCTCGAAGGGAAGAAGAAGCTTTGGCAGTTTTTGAGGAGATGCTGGATGCTGGTGTCAGGTTTGTGTATACTGCAATTCTTACTGTTGTACTGTTATACTGGAAACCAATATCTGGAATTTGTATTGATAAAATGTATTGTTTGAACTCATCAATCACCTGTCTCGGAATACTTGGAACTAACACGGGGAATACTTTTGGAACTAACAGATTCCTCAGATAGATTTCTTTAGTCCAAATAAAAGATGAAAATAACTTATAATGGCTATTTCTATTTGTTTCTGTTGTTGTGTAAGCTTATTAATCTCCATCAAGATCCTAGAAAAATGGACTGGCACAAATATGCACACCCAAAAAAACATTTCTGTCGAAGTCCTGAATTGGATATTGATTATTGAGGACGCATTGACAATTCAAAATAGGTCTTCTCTAAATTTCCAAATCATTCATAGATGTCATCAAATACTTGTCGTTTCCAGCTGGAGATTTGTTGCAATTGGGGAACTTGCCCTGTCGTTGTGTGGTGAACTTCAAATATTACCTTTCAGTCCGCTGTCCTGTTGTCATGATGTGTCAGATGGAAGCTTGTGTTGGTTTCCCTTTTCTTGCTTCAATTTTACTGGTTACCATGTGCCAAATCTGTAGTTACTCATTTCTAGATATTGTATTACTGTTGGCTACATTCAATACCATTTCATTTTCTTCTGGAGATAACTATGTTGTTATGCTTTCTCTTATAGGCCAACCCACAAAGCATATAACATTTTGCTTGATGCCTTTGCAATCTCGGGAATGGTGGAGCAGGCTCGAATAGTGTTCAAGAGCATGAGAAGAGACAGGTATTCCTATCTGTAACCCTATTGCACACTGCACTTCCTAGAGCTTGTACTTTATATTTTACCTATATTGATCCCATATGCCAAAATTTAATACATGATGGTGGATGCACAGACATTTTGTTCTTTTACAAAGCATCCACATCGTCTCTGTGAAGCACAGACATAGACACTGAAACAATGTGGATGCATTGGCATGGCGATTTTCATAAAAAAATAGGACATGAAAGACGCGTCGGAAGTGTGTGATGTATTATTGGAGAAGTGTCCAACATGGACATATATTCAAGATTGAAATGTTAGTGCTTCATAGGTTAGAATACTATCATATATTATGAGGTTTCGGATTTTATGTTCTGGCCATGAAGATATAACATTAGTTCAATTACCGTGATGAACCTGCCGGTTTACAAGTTCAAAATGGTTCAAAGTATGCTTGATATGTTTTTGCGAGTGCTTTTTTTTGACATTATGTTATAGGTCTTCCAAACTCTATTGAAAATTATGTGTTCTTTTAATTTCATGTTTTGCAGATGCACCCCAAACCTTTGCTCTTATACAACGATGTTATCAGCATATGCGAATGCATCTGACATGGAGGGTGCTGAAAAATTCTTCACTAGATTGAAACGAGATGGATTCGAACCAAATGTTGTCACATATGGTACGTTGATCAAAGGTTACGCGAAGATAAAAGATCTTGAAAATATGATGAAAAAATATGAAGAAATGCAATTAAGTGGTGTAAAAGCAAATCAAACGATTTTCACAACAATAATGGATGCACATGGTAAGAACAAAGATTTTGGAAGTGCAGTCTCTTGGTACAAGGAAATGGAGCGCCATGGAGTTCCTCCTGACCAGAAAGCGAAAAACGTCCTTTTATCTTTGGCCAAAACGGCAGATGAAAAGGAAGAAGCTAACCAACTTGTAGGATATTCGGATAATGGAGCCTCTAGGTTTGTTAATGGAGAATATGCCGATGACGATGATGATGATGACGATGATTCAGATAATGAAGTGGACAATTATGAATTAGATGATGAAGAAGATGCAAATTATTATGATGAAGAGCAAGAGGAATTAATAGATTTTACCAGTGATGATCAACAAAGTGTAGAAGGCCTATATTCTCTTAAAGTTATTGATTTGTAAGTTCACAAACTTCTGATTTTTGGGTTACAAATGTATATGTGGGAGTTCTGTTTTTCATTTACTATTTAGCTATCAAACCATATCAGATGAAGAGGTTCTTTCTTTTGGGTTTCATTACATGTTTTTAATATTTGAGGCAGATAAGATGAGTAACATTTTTATATATTTAAAAGTTTGTTATGACACCCATTTTTGGTCAGTTTTTCTAATTTAATAGATTTACCTAATTCCTAGGTAATGGAATTTAGATGTGTGATAAAATATTAAAAACTTGTTTGAAAATTTCAAGAAAAAGAGGATAACTGATCTGATCTAAATTTGAGTGTTGTCACCTGGAAAAGGCGAGCCTTATCTCCAAGAATGAAAAAATGATGATAAACGATATAGAGACGATGTCGCTACAAGTTGGTCCCACTTTATGAAATTCTAGATCTTGCCGGTCAAATGTGGCTGTGCTCGGAACTTGTCAAAATATTAAACACCGTTTTTTTAGTACGTTTGATAACATTTAGTTTATTTTTTAATTAAAAATTATTAAAACAACTAACAATTATTAAAATAGTTAAGTTTTCTGAATAAATCTTTTATATTCATTTATAGGTTGTCTTGTGTAAATTTCATTTTATCAAATGAAGATTCAATTGCAGTAATTCATTTTAAACTAATTTCATAAATATTTAACAAAATAAAATATTTTCTATTAATAATACATAATTTTAAACTTGATAACACAAATTAATAAAAAAAATTATGAAAGTCAAGACAAAAATATTAAAATATAATATAGTTTGAAATTAACTTGGTAATTGGTGATACAATTTCAAATTTTTTTTTCTCATTGATGCTTACATTTGTAGATGGGTTGGTGGGTCGTATTCAATTTGTGTCATCGTCTCCAATAATACAGCAATATGTGGTTTGTGCAATGGTTTCATTTCCATCCTCAAGAACTCATGTGGCTGAGCTTCCTTATTTGATATTTCGGTCTCTTCTTACAAGTAGCTGTCACACAACTTCAACTTAATTGATGAAAAGTCAATTTAAACTTTGTTCATGCTTATTATATTAATTATTTTAGCTATAATTTTCATTTTGATGTTTTGACAATTGCTGTCTCGATATCGTGTCAATCTGCAATTCGTGGAAATTTATATTTTACTGTTACATGAAATAACAATTAAATTGAATATCACTATCAGTACAAATGATTGTACTAAAACAAGACCTAATTGAATTTCTTAATAAATACATAAATGTTATACTTTTTCTATATGAAAATTACATAAAAGGAAATTGTACAATATATTTCTAAATATATTTCTTAGAATTAAAATTAAATTTTATAATAATTATGTTTTTTATTAATTTTGTCGTGGATAGTTTATTTTTAAATAAATCTAAAAAAATAAGTTTAGTACGATTAAAAAATTAATAAAAAATCTAAATAAATAAATAAATAAAATAAAAAACTACCGATCATTTCGTTTTTTCCTTTGGCTGTTTAGGCACCATCCTATTAATTTATTATAAACTGTAAATATCTAAATTTGTATAATAAATAATATAATACGTATATAATTTTTGTCCTAAGAGGCTTGTCGTCCGATTAGGCCTTAATAGTCATATGGTTTCTCCATTTATCAAAACTTGAATAATAAAATAATATATACACTATTTTCTTAGTTTTTTTGTCTTAAGGCGGTTTGTCATTCGATTAGGGCCACACTCGGTGATGACTATGGAACATAATGGGCCCACTTCAATTGAGACCATGAAAATGGGGTCCACGGTTATGAGAGATAAAATGGTGATGGGCAAATGGAGAATTTGATGACGTGGCGTCAACTAACTTTGCTGTCTGCCACGTTATTGCTTATTTGCTTTATTTACACAGCTCATGGGAGTATCGTATGCGCATACAGACTAGCATACAGATTAGCAGTGTAGGCAAACTATTCCATTTAATTACAAAATTGCTTCTTGCCACTATCCTATCTCAAAAGGGAGTTAAGATCGTCTTGGGTACCGGCTTTTTAAGTATCGCTTAAAAAATTATTTATTAATATATCATTTACACTAATTAATTAGGGTAGAGTTTAATAAAAAATAAATTTATGTAATGCTTAATTTTTATCGTTTTATAAAAAGTTATTCAAATATCTAAAACTACTAAAATAACTATTTTTACTTAAACGATGCTAAATCATCATATCCTTATAGACATTCCAATTGCATCCTCATAATTATCATTTTTTAAACATTTTCAAGGTTACTTTTATTGTTTAAAAATAAGTTGCATGCAAAAAATATTTTAGGGAAAATACGTTGTTTAATTGAAATATTAAAAATAGTTAAAAATATTGATACTATAAAAGTATTTAAAATAATAAATTTTACATGTCAATCAAAATTATTATTAAATATGAGAAAAATTATAAAAAATAATAAATTATTTTAATTATCAAGGACTAATATGGAAGGGTTGTATGACTAATAGTGATATCAATAATAACTAGAATTGTCAATAATTAATAAATTATTGAATATGTTTTGTAGGATTATGATAAATTAATTTTTAAAAACTATTTTCCTCTTTTGTAAAAAGTGGTTCATTTTCCCTAAGGATAAGATTTTTCATATTAAAAAGTATTGATATTTTTCTTTTCTGAAACAAAAAAAAAAATCTTAAAATTTAGCTTGAAGAGAAGTAATATAATAATTGAGATGGCTCGAAATCGATATTTTATTATTTTAATCTATCAGCAAATAAAAGAAATAAACAATGAGAGCAAATGGGTTAAAAATGTAATATTGTCAAATTCCACAGGACATTATAGTACACTTGGAGCTCTCTGTCCGTTCTTTCCATTTTTAAGGTCTCCTGACGCTCGCACTAAACAAGTCTTTCTTAATGCTCTTCCTTGGCCACTTTAAATAAAAAACGACCTGAAATCCAAACATTTTTGCAAATGTAGAAACGAAAATGGCGACAATGGCGATGAGAGCGAAACTAACGAGGGTTCTTTCTATTCTCGTCAATAATAATTATAACAAGCATAACACAATCTTGAATAATTACTTAAGATCTGGAACATCCTTTACTGGGTTGGCTCGGTTTTCGTCTCCGGCCGGGGCGGTGGCCGCGGTGAAAGATCAAGAATTGGTCAGGTCAAGAGGAGTTGGGTTGGAAATATTGGGAGTCAAAGATTATGAAGATTATAGAAGGTCTTTGTATGGTGACATCACTCATAAAGCTTTGCTTGTTGATGCTGTTGGTACCCTTGTCATTCCTTCACAGCCCACAGCACAGGTACAAATGCATATTTATGTTTATGTTTGTATTTATATTGCACTCTGTACATAAATATTGTCTCTTGTCTCTTGATGTGCTTCTGCATGTAACATTTTCTGGGATTTTTGTGATCTATGGATATATACATATTTTGGATTTCTGATTTATTTTTTATTTTTTGCTTTTAGATTGGGAATTTTATTTAAACTTTGTGTGGTGTTTTGATACCTCTTAGTTCCACTTGAATTTTAATTTTGTTGTCTTTTTCTCTCTTTTGCATGAGTACGGTGTACGGAGTGGTTTATTTTGTCTCTATAATTAGCTTTTTAATTGATTTTTCTTTTTGTCAAATTTTTGGTGTTTATTTAGAGTAAGCTCTGAAATTCTTTCTTTCTGTAAAACCCATAGGCCATACAATTTGATCTATATTTATTTTATACTATATCTGTTGAATAACTCATGCTACCTTCATTTTCCTTTAACGGGTAGCTTTGAATTTTCTTTCAACATATTTATTCATTTTCACGTAAACATGTATCTGTCTGGTGACATGTTGTTTTTTTCTTGTAGATATATAGAAAGATAGGGGAGAAATATGGAGTGGAGTACTCAGAGGATGAGATATTGAATAGATATAGAAGGGCTTATGAGCAGCCTTGGGGTAGATCTCGGCTCAGGTATGTTCCTTTTTCCGTAATTTTTTTACATGGAAATTACCTAATAATGTTGATTTTCTCTTTAAAATCCAATTCCTTTTTTTTTTTTTTTTTTTTTTTTTTTTTTTTTTTTAGCACTTGATTTTTCTTTTTGTCAAATTTTTTGGTGTTATTTAGCAGTAAGCCTCTGAAATTCTTTCTTTTCTGTAAAACCCATAGCCATAAATTTGATTCTATATTTATTTTATATATAATCTGCTTGAATAACTCATGCTACCTTACATTTTTTCCTTTAACGGGTAGCTTTGAATTTCTTTCAAATTATTTATTTCATTTTCAACGTAAACATGTATCTGTCTGGTGGGACATGTTGTTGTTTTTTTCTTGTAGATAACTTATAGAAAAGATAGGGGAGAAAATATGGAGTGCAGTAGTCAAGAGGAATGAGATACTTGAATAGATATAGAAGGGCTTTCATGAGCAGCCTTGGGGACGTAGACATCCATCGGCTCAGTATGTTCCTTTTTCCCGTAATTTTTTTACATGGAAATTTACCTATAATGTTGATTTCTCTCCTTTAAAATCCAAATTCCTTTTTTTTTTTTTTTTTTTTTGTTCTGTTTTATCCTTGCCTTTATTATCTGCTGCATTAGGTGTAACCTTATAAGCCAGTTATCTTTTATAGCAACTCTTATTATACCTGTTTTTTTTACACCATCAAGCTGGAAGACTGTCACATATGAAGACAAAAAGGAAAACATGCGACTCTGAATGTGTGTATTTATGAGATTAAGCAAAGTCATTCATGTCGCTTCCATTTTTGTTGAATTAATGATAGTCTTTTGCCTCCTTCCTGATTGACATTTTAATATTTTGTGTTTTTTGACCGCCTTTGCTATTTCTGTCACTTCCTAATGTTTCAACCCAAAGTCCGACCTATATTAGGCTCTTCAGCTTTCACTCCATTGACACAGGAAATAATCTATTCGATGAGATAAAAAGGAAATGCCAGCCACGTTGGTATATAGCACACCAATCGCGTAGAGTTGCCTAGCTACTTTTTTTTTTTTTTTTTTTTTTTTTTTTTATCCTTTGCTTATTTTGCTGCATGTGTACTTGTAGCCATTACTTTTTGCAACTTTATTATACCTTTTTTTTATGGGAGCAAAAAGGAAAAAGCATTAAGGTTATTATGAGATAAGCAAAGTCATTCATGTGCTTCATTTTTGTGAATTATGATAGCTTTTGCCTTCTGATTTGACATTTATTTTTGTTTTTTCCCGCTGCATTTCTGTACTCCTAATGTTTAACCAAAGTCGACCTTATAGGCTTTCACTTTCTCATTGACACAGAAAAATCATTGATGAAAGAAATGCAGCCATTGGTTTAGCCACCAAGTGGTAGAGTGCCTAGCCTTCTCATAGATTCTTTTTTATCTGTCTATTGTATCTCTTGCAAGCTTTAAAAAGCTTGATTTGGGAATCTTGAAATCAATATTAGTCAAAAGATAGATTTATATGCTCATAAATAAATTTGGAACGATTATAAATGTCTCTGTTAGGGGTTAAATATGATCAAATATTTATATGAGTGATTAAATCTTGCATATTCACTTTGTTAAAAGATCTATTGCTTGGAATTTTAAATCTTTCAAGTGTCAAGCATGCTGTCTTAAGCTTCAGGACAGTTTGATTCAAGTGTCGGATTCTTTTGTCTTTTTTTTTTTTTTAGGAGGTGCATCTTGCATCATTAATTACTGTGATGTTGATCTGACATATGCAGTTAAATGCAGAGGAAAATTTTGATGGTGACAAACTAAAACTATAATGAATAAAGTTTTTTCATTTTTTTTTTTTGCATGAAATTGCAGGTTCAAGTGAAATACCAATTACAAGTTAAAAGTTCCCTCCAACGCATTTAATCACATTTTGAAAGAAAAATTTACTTTAAAGTGGAATGTAGCAAGGAATCTCAAAAATCCAACTTGTCTATTTAAGTCCTTATTGGTTATTAGAATGCATCAAAATATTCGGTCTGAGAATGTGGGCCAGTCACAGACACACAAGTGGCAAAGTAACAAAAAGGATTTACAATTATGATTGAGGCCTAGTTGAGTTGAGTTGAGTGTATGTGCATCCCCAATAATTCAATTAACATTTATGACAAACTTTGATCTTATGCTCAATCATGATGACTTATTTAATGTGAGACAAACTTTTTGTATAACCATTGTCTCTTTAACACTCGTATAAGCGTTCTTGTGGGTCATAGAGAGGGTAACTAAGGTTCATTCTTGGTTGACGAATTGATCGTCTAACCAACTTTTATATTGTCTTTCTCTCTGTCCAAGAATTTTGCAAGGAAGAGAAAAAAGCAGAGAAGGAAATGGGGTAAAATCAACATATTTACTATTTTATCTAGATAACTATAACTTGAAGGGAAAAGGTAGAGGATAGTCTAGTAATTTAAATTAATATATTCTTCTCAATTTACTCCCTCCACTTCCCAATCCTCAAATTTCTCCCCTTAGTTCCCAACCAAAGGGTTTGTTTCTTATGGTTTTCTGACTTTTAAAGCAGATAGAGTCTTGTTTATTGGATTAATATAAAATCATTCTTTAATGATTAATGCTTAATCTATTGCGTGTAATTTGGTGCAAGCAAAACCGAAATTAATATATGGAAAGTGACACATTGAAAATAGTAAATCCCATTTTACCTCTTGTTTGTGGCATATTACATCTGATCGCTTTTTCTCAAACTTGCTACTGTTCTAAAGATTGCTGAAATGCACTTCGCTTTCGCAGCAATCTCACTTAGTTTTCAATAGCATGATCCTTTTTTTCATTAAAAAAAAAAATATTGCAGATATGTAAATGATGGAAGACCCTTCTGGCAATATATAGTCAGTTCGTCTACTGGTTGTTCAGATTCTCAATACTTTGAAGAACTTTATAGCTACTATACTACTGAAAAGGTACGGTTGGGTGACTAATTGAGATATAGATATTTTGCTTTATTTTGGTTGCTGGCTGTAACTTTTCATTCATCGTTTTCATCTCAAGGCTTGGCATCTCTGTGATCCTGATGCTGAGAAAGTATTCAAGGCTCTTAAAAAGGCAGGTGTGAAGTTGGCTGTTGTCTCTAACTTTGACACTCGACTTAGACCTCTCCTACAGGCTTTAAACTGTTATCATTGGTTCGATGCTGTGGCAGTTTCAGCTGAAGTAAGAAACAGTTTTTCTTTTAATCCTCTTCCTCACTCCTTAGAATAATACAAATGGGGCAGTTATGCTTCTTATCTTTGCGTAGGTTGCTTATCGTTAGTCAATAGCTCTTGCTTCATTAGACAATTATTAAAGAAGTAATTAGGTTAACTCTGATCTTATTTATGGGTTTGCTTAATTTGCATAAAATTCTTTCCACATTATCTCTTCATGGTTCATCACGACATGTTGATGCTATCAGTTATTATATTGGGGAAAAAGGGAATGATTTGTTGAAATGTGCAGTTAAAATAAATGATCCTATTCTTTAAAAAAAAATCACGCATGTAAACTGCAACACGAATTTTGTTGACAAATTGTGGTGCATTTGTTTTGGTCAATTTGGCTATGAAGTTTCAATATTTGTAGTTTTCTGCTCTCTCTCTTTCTCCCTAAACAGGTTGCTGCAGAGAAGCCAAACCCAACGATATTTCTAAAAGCTTGTGAACTGTTGGGAGTAAAACCTGAGGAGGCTGTGCATGTAGGAGATGATCGCAGGAATGATATATGGGGTGCAAGAGACGCAGGCTGTGATGCGTGGCTTTGGGGAAGTGATGTCAATTCCTTTGAGGAGGTAAGCCTTCAATATTCAACAAAATTGTCAAAATTGAAAGCGAGGAAGAGACAGTATGAAACATTTCTGAAGAATAGTACTCCTTCACGATTGCAGTTTGAAAAATCTAACAATTGAATGTGGGTTAGAACACAGTTTGAAGTTTTACGACACAGTAGTTACATGCAAATTAGAGAGAAATTTTATGGCATATTAATGAAACTTGCTATCTAACTCTCTTTATAAGTTGTAAGAACATTAGGATAGGGGTATTATTACCAACACTCTGTATGATTTCTTCAATTTTTGCTGATGCAGGTAGCACAAAGGATAGGGGTGCAGGTTTGAGAGGTCTTAGTCATCCAAGATGATGGAAGTTATTATATATATATACATATGTACAGGTATAATGTAGCTTTCAGAAAGAGGCTGTCACTACAGTGGTGTTGCTCTGTATTTTGTAGAGGGTAGAGGTGAGGCCATAACTAGTGAGAGACAGACTTGGTATAAAATAAACGTGGTGAGGAAATAATATATAGACTTCTTTTTCCCCTGTGGTGGTTTGTTTGTCTTTCAAATTAGTAGTTCACAATCCACATTAGTAGTTATATTATATAGTCAAAATTTATTATTTGCTTTATTTAGTTTAATTTTATTATGGATTTTATGAAATGGTAACTTCTGTAAAATTATTATAAAATCAATTAATATTAAATAAATTAATTAATTTTGAAGCTACTCACCAGCTTTCAAATGACACTTACAAATGATTAAGATACTTTTGACAAGTTCAACAATATATATAAAATAATATTATTATAATATAAAATTTGATATTAATACTTTAATGTAATATATTTGTTAATATTATTATAGCATTTTTTCCTTTCCTATTCCATAAACATGGGAAGGAGAAAAGGAAATCAACATAAAGGGTACAAATGGTCAATGAACGAGAGGCGATATCTGTTCAACAATCTTAATTTTAGTAAAAATAATTATAATTAACTAAATTATTATTTTGTCAGTTTTTAAATAATTAATGTGTACTAAGTGGATATATGTTAAAAAAAAAAAAAAAAAAAAAAAACGTAATATTATTATAATAATAAATTTGATATTTAATTACTTTAATGTATATATTTTAGTTCAATCTATTATTATAGCATTGTTTTCCTTTCCTATTCCATAAACATTGGGAAGGAAAGGGAAAAGGAAAATCTAATTCATAACGAGGGCTAACAAATGGTCAATGAACAGATGAGGCTGATATCCTGATTCAAAACAACAGTCTTTTAGAGATTTTTGTAAAAAATTAATTAGTCAATTAAACTAAGATTATTATTTTGTTATCGTATTGTCAGTTTATAAAGTTCAATTAATGTGTGTACTACAGTGTGATATGAATGTTAAAATAAAAAATACAAAAAAAAAAACAAGCGAGTAAATCATGTTTGTAGACAAAAAAAAATTTTTTTGTCTTCTCTTTATTATGACAGCAAATAAACCAAGAAAAAAAAATTTTGAAAGACAATTTAGTGGGTATGAAGAGAGTAATAGTTATTAACCTCTTCCATTAATTAAAAAAAAAAAAAAAAAAAACAAGGGTAAAGTTGTAGAAAAAAATTTTTTTTCTTCTTATTATGACACAAAATAAAAATTGAAAGACAATTTAGTGGTATGAAGAGAGTAATAGGTTATTAATTTATTAAATCACACTGATTCTTATTATAAACTTAAAAAACTCTATTTTATATGAATAATTTTAATTGGTTTTTATATGTCTTGTAGCAAATGTAGAGAGTAGAAAGCCTCGAGTTTGAGTTGTCTCCACCATAAAGGTTAATACCAGTTTGGTAAATATTAGTCAAATATATTACCATTAACCGTTAAAAAAAATTATGATAATACATCACCGTTAACCGTTAAAAAAAATTATAATACGGAGGGAATGTTTTTATTTTTTATTTTTTAAATTTGGTTGGATTTAATTGAAATTTCTAATTTTAAAAATTTAATTATTAATTAAGTCATTAATATGATTGGATAAATTTGTCAAATTTTAAAGTGGTTGTAACCTAGAAATGTTTTTTGGTGAGAAGGCTGAAGTTACATTAGGCATCAGCAACAGCAAAGTCAAAATGAATTTGACTGGGTTGAAATGTATTAAAATTATAAATTTTACAAAATGGATTTGAAATTTGTTATTTACAAAATAGAATAAAATCTAACAAATTTAAAATCAATTTCACCAAGTTACATTTACAGCAAAAGCATAAAAGACCCCAAGCAAAAAGTCTGGGCGGGAAAAGATTGGAAGAAGCAAAAGTAGGGATTTTTTGAGTGCAGAAGCAAATACAGTACAGACTCTTTCTCTTTCGCTCTCCAACATGGAGAGAATACACGTGACTGTCCGAGCGCGGCCATTGTCGACGGAGGATGCGAAGACAAGCCCATGGAGAATCTCCGGAAACTCTGTTTTCATCCCCAACACCTCTTCTAAGTTTGAATTCGGTAACAATTCAAATTCAAATTTCACTTTATGACTTTTTTGCTTAGAGTTTTTTACTTCTTTAATTTCAAAATCCTTAATATTTTTTGGACCATTAGATCGGATTTTTGGAGAAGACTGCAAGACTGAGGAGGTATACAGAGCTCGTACTAAAGAAATTGTTGGTGCAGCAGTTCAAGGATTCAATGGTACATTTTTCATTTGTTGGCTGATTTTTTAGTTACTTCTAATTTAGAAGTTGTTATTTTGTATTTATATCTGTTTAATTATAGAATATAAGCACCTTGTGTAGTATATTAAATGTGTAACTATTTTTTGACTGGATTTTGTTTTTGGTACGTTTCAATATCTGTAGAATTATGTTATATTTTGCTACAATGTAGGCACTGTGTTCGCATATGGGCAAACTAATAGTGGAAAAACTCATACAATGCGAGGCTCTGCTACTGAACCTGGGGTTATTCCTTTGGCTGTCCATGATTTGTTCGACATAATAAAACAGGTTGATTACTTTCGAGATAGTCACAAAGTTTTTTATTTAGTTCCTTCCTATGCTGTTTTCATCTGTGTTGTTTATTGCTTTGTGCTAGACTGAGAATTCTGATTGATGATATGCTGGTAACCTCGGCGCATTGTTATGGCAGTTTACTGTAGGTAGGAAAGCATTGAATGTGTGGTTAATACATTTTCTTTATTAGGCGAGAAATATAGATTAGCTATGAATGTAAAAGACAGAGATACATATTATTGGAATCCTGAATTAGACTTTGAGATGCCAAATCTTTGAATGATTCTGTCTACATTCTTTGTTGCTATAAAATGGAGAGTGGTTGGTAAATTAAGGTGTTAAAGTTCTTTTGCAAATGGCCCTCCCTCAACCTTTGTAAACCAAGGAGCCTTTTTCACTGGAGACATCCCTTTTTGTAGAATATTTTTGATGGAGACTGGAGAGTGATGCTTGCATTTTCAAAAACCACATGCTGTCCCGTAACCTGTTGGAGGACTGATTGATTTTCTTGGTTTGCTTGTGGCTTGTGCTCCATGGTCTTTTGTAGTGATTTCCTTATGAGCTATTGGGCTTGTTTTGATGGTGTTAAATTTTTAATCTTGTCATTCTCTCTTGTTGCTATTTTGAGCTCATAGCATAGGAGGATGCCTTATGCTCCATGTTGTATTCTCTTCAATCCTTGTTAGCATTTCTTTGCCCCTCTCTTATCAAAAGATTATATTTTAACATTTTAGCTTTCCTTTGTTTTCAAATATTTTGTACCTAAATTTAAGCAAGATCCTTCCTGTTGATTTATTTCTATTTTGTTATCTACTTTCCTCTCTATTTAATTTATCGATGCCCTCAATAGCAATTGAAGTTTTGTAGTTTTGTTAGGCGCATTACAGTGGATGTTATTCTACTACTTGCCCCATAACTGCTGCCCACAAGGCAATGAAATTATCGATGCAATAATGGTTTAAGTAAACATGTTATTTTCCTTTTGGACTTCGGTTGAAGACAATCTGAAGTCTTGCGGTATCATTTGTTGGGATTACATATGGTAATATTTGTTAAGTAATCTATAGGCAGAGCAGTCTATTCTTTGCCCAAGCTATAATGACCTTCTTTCTTGTTCCACAAATTTAGCTTTTCTCTTGAGCTGTCAGTGAAAGTGCTCATTTTTTTGTTCCATTTTTGAGAAATTAACGAACTTTGATGGAAAACTATGAAGAAGTATCAATCCAAAGAGAATAATTATTAGCATTAGTATAAAAGAACAAATTTTAGTGGATGATATAAGCTTACTAGATATCTGGTTGAATGGATAGTGGAGTTGGAACTTGGCAATCTTCGTTTATAATCTGAATTAATAATGCAAATTCTGAAAATTGTTTCTTGTTAGTTGATAGTCTTTTCATGCAATTTAGGATGCTGGTCGGGAGTTTCTTCTGCGAATGTCATATATGGAGATCTATAATGAGGATATCAATGACTTATTGGTTCCTGAGCACCGAAAGCTTCAGATTCATGAAAGTTTAGAGGTACTTGAAATAATGTCTAGTATAATTTTATGCTAGCAATATATATATATAAAGGTCGATGCCATGGAAGCAGCCTCTCTACAAATGGGGGAGGCTGCGTGCATCAACCCTCCCTAGAGTCCACACATGTGAGATGCTTCCTGCACTAGATCGTCCTTTTTCACTAACAATTTATTTTGCTTCCACATACAGCGGGGGATATATGTTGCTGGTTTGCAGGAAGCAGTTGTTGCCTTTCCTCAGCAAGTTCTTGATCTGATGCAGTTTGGAGAATGTAATCAATATGTACCATTTCCAATTCTATGAGATTTTGACTGAAGTGTGATTTATTCAATTTAAAAATACTGTCAATCTGACTTGCTTATATAACATTGTACATTTATGATTGGAAACTGACACCTCAAATAATAATGTAATAAATTTAAGAAGTAAATTAGTCATTTAGCAAAACTTAGAACTTCAAAATGAATTATTTGTCCTTAACTTCTCAAACTCGCAACCTGTTTTGTCCTTAGTTAATACATTCATCCCCTGGTTTCCAAATGGAACTACCTTTAATCCTTGATTCATTGCAAACTTTGGGACTAAAAAGGTTGCTGTTTTCAAAAAAGGACTAGAATTGATGATATTTATGATTCGATAAAAGTGGATATGGAGCATATAAATCAACTTAATGAGATGACTGAAGTGTATATTTTGTGTAATGTTGGAGGAGATTTTAATTTACCCAAAGTACACCAGTTTGATTTTATCTATTTTTAAAATTTTATTACTTATGTTCTGCTTTTATTGCTTGAGCATGCTGGCTTTAATTGTCATTAACATTATGAAGCCCTTCAATATCTCTCTGTTTTGGATTTATGTTTATATGGAATCTCTGTTTGGATGCTTAATACAATGTCCTTTTGTGAAATTTCAGCACATAGACATATTGGAGAGACAAATATGAATGTGTACAGTAGCAGGTCCCACACTATTTTCCGTATGGTAAGGTTAATTTTCTTCCCAGTCTTATCAAATATTTTATCTTATAAGTTCTCTCCCTCATATTTTAATTGTATAGATAATAGAGAGTCGGGATAGAATTGAGGATATGGATGTTGGCAGTTCCTGTGATGCTGTTCGTGTATCAGTTTTGGTACGTTATTAGTAAAACTGTTGGTCTTTATTCCACTTGTTTTTCTTTTTAAATTTCTTGGTTTACAATTTACAGTCCTTTTTGCACTTACCATAAATATAATCTTTCTTCTGCCTGTTTACCCAAAAAGAAAGTATCATAGTTATATTTCTTTATTTTGTTATTACCATGGTTGGTTTTTTATCTAGAATTTGGTGGACCTTGCTGGTTCAGAACGGGCTGCGAAAACTGGTGCGGAAGGTGTCAGGCTTAAAGAGGGTTCCCACATTAATAAAAGCCTAATGACACTTGGAACTGTGATTAAAAAACTGAGTGAAGGTGCTGAAAGCCAAGGGTAGGTTCTATAATTGTTAGGAACATAGCTGTTCTTTGAGAACTGCATAGTGGTTGGAGTAACTCTCCTTTGGTCTTTATTCATTAACTGTTTTACATTTGATGTAGGGGTCATGTTCCATATAGAGATAGCAAGCTCACACGAATTTTGCAACCTGCACTTGGTGGAAATGCAAATACAGCTATAATCTGTAATATTACACTTGCACAGGTAGAACTCCTTCAGGTGGTCTAAAGTGCACTTGGTTGTCTCATTAAATGCATATATAGAACTTTTTCCTGCTAAAAAATTTAAATGGTGATTATTTCGCTAAATGATTTCTTGTATGTTGAATATTGGTTTAGGGTAGTGGTGCACAGTTGTGATATAGAATTAGGAGTGTGCAAAACCATTGACTGAATCGAACCGACCCACTTTGGTTCGATTCAGTCAGCCTATTCAAGGGAGTTCGGTTTTTCGGTTTGAATCGAAGCCATTGTTTGGTTCGAGTTGATTTCATAGAAATTAATCAGTAGGGTCTAAAATTAAACCGACATGGCAAAAAGCGACCAATTTCGGCCGAACTGACTGGTTCGGTTCGAGTGGTTCGGTCTGGTGTCCAGAAACTTCGGGTTTTCATTTTTTAACCTTGACCGTTTTCTCACCTCGATGTAGAACAGCTTGCAGAGCTGATTATCTAGGCTAGATTTTGGGTTTGAACAGTATCCAGGAACAGTTCAAATTAGTATTTCCTTAAGCATCACACTAAATGTTTCCATTGGCATGGTGCCCAGGGTTGAACTGCATCACATAATCCAGATAAGTATAATTGCTTTAAATTTTTATTGACATGTAAATGGAATAATTAAGCATTATGAACAATTATATTTATAGACTTAGAACTAACTATAAATCTTTAAGATATTGGACCACAAACTATTCCTAATCCTCTTAGGATTTTTGGACTTCTGAAAAAGACTAGAAGTGATAACCTTATCCTAAGCCAATGAGGAATCAAAATAACTAAAAATTAAACGCCTAACGGCAAAAAAACCCAAACTTTTTTGAAAAATTGCAATCACACCCAAAACCTGCCAAAATAGACTATTTTACCAAAACTTAAAAACTGAGTTGCAACTGTAGCCATTTGGTTAAAATTGAATTGAAATATAGCATAATATACTTATCATTTTATCCAACCACTCATCTCCAAGATCAAATCTAGAATAACTCTACAATCTCTCCCCAGTTTTAAAAACTGATTCTGTACTTTTAATCAAATGGGTATCTAAACAATCTATTTTGAGAGGTTTTGGTTTCTTAATGCTTATGCTGCAACAAAAATAAACTCCTCAATGGCATCTAGGCAACTTTTCCAATGGATCAGAATTACAAAATCACCCCTATTCCAAAAGGTAAAATTCTGCAATTTTCCTATTTAAGGAACATCAAAGTAAGACTATGAAGGCCAAATTATTTTCCGAATTGAGCCTCTCACCACCAAGCATGTGTGAAACACGTCACATGCAGGAATAAAATAATTTAATTTAGAACAGCAAGAAAATATTATTTTCTTTAATCTTAATGCGTACAGTTGGCAATGCAGCCAACTTGTCAAGGTTTGGGTAAAATTATCTGTTTGGGAAGGTTAAGTATAATTGCAAATGTGCTAATAGGTTTAGGTTTCTTAGTGAGTAGGTGTTCTTTTTAAATCATCATTATGGCATATGAGAGAAGAGAAAGATTAAGATGGTCTCGAAAATGCATCTCAGATTAACAGCTGCTGCATTACAGAAGGTGAAGTATATTGAAGTTGTAGGAGAAAAGAAAGTGGGAGTCAAACCTAGATTATGTGATAGGAAGTAGTCAAAAGATATTTTGTCGCCCGAGAGATAAACTTCAACTGGGTTAAATAGAAGAAAAAGGATCTAGATGGCCTGCCCAACTACACTGAGACTAATACTTAGTTAAATTGTTGCATGAGGTAAGTAAAGGAAACACCAATGCCAAGTGGCTAAGGCTTTATAGTACAGAAATGAATGGAGGCAAAAACCTTTATTTGATACTTAAGTTCATTTTAAAATTCATGCTTGTTGGTTTTACTTTATGTAGCATTGCATTGTGTGAACCATGGATATATCCATATAAGCTACTGAGTACTTTTATCTTCTATGATCTATCAGGGAAATAATGGTATTGAGCACAGTGTCCCTTACTAGGATTGAAATACATCTTTAATTGGATTCTTGTGCAGCAGTTATACATGCTTCTCAAGTTTTTCCAGTGCAATTTGTAGTTCTTTTTTTTGGCTAGGATGTGCACTTCTCCATCTTCTGTAAATATGTAATTATTACCATGAGAAAATCAAATGAATTAGGCCAATATGTGCAAAAAGTATGCACTGTATGCTTCCTTGGTTGCTCTTGTCTTGTGCTTTTCTTCCTGTTCTGTTGTATTAATTACATCTGATAAGCTTTGTTTTGATGGTAGATTCACACAGATGAGACAAAAAGTAGTCTTCAATTTGCAAGTAGAGCATTACGTGTCACAAATTGTGCTCATGTGAATGAGGTTTGCTCTAGTTTGTCTTTTACTTCCAACATTTTTTTTTATTCATATTCTATCTTTCCTTCATTTGTTATGTTAAATCAATCTTTTTAGCATGTTATTGTGTTTCGTGGAGCTTGAGCTGTAATCCTCACTATTTGCATGCTAGATTTTGACGGATGCTGCCTTGTTGAAGCGTCAGAAGAAAGAAATTGAGGAGCTTCGTGCAAAGTTGCAGGTTGGTGTCTCTTGTATGTTATACGTGGTCATTTATATGGAATCATATAGACTTATCTTTTAATTTTCTATTTATTTCTGGAAATTATTTGTTGTTAACCATCTTTCATTTCAATTAGGGTTCTCATTCAGAGCATTTGGAGGATGAAATTCTCAACCTTCGGAACACATTATTACAGGTTTGACAATATTTGCATGTTTTATGTTTAACCTTTTCTAGAAGATTGTATGGCCATATTCTAAAAGTTTTTAAAAATGCTCTACAGTCTGAATTGGAGAGGGAGCGCATAATTTTGGAGTTGGAGGAGGAAAAGAGAGCCCAAGCTGAACGTGAAAAGGTTCTGCAAGAGCAGGCCAAGAAAATAAAAAACTTGAGCTCGATGGTTTTGCACTCCAACAGGGATGAAAGTCGTAATCAACAGAAAAAGGTTTCTATTCCTTGCCTGTTCTTCTAATATAAGTCACTGGAAATGCATATTTGATACATTTCTCTTTCTAGCTCTTTCTTTTTCCAGTTTTGCTTTTCTTAAAAAGAAAATTTGTAAGTACATAAGCCCTTCGAGTAGTCAAACTAGTGTGATTATAGGCGCTAGGTGAGGAGTATAAGTTGATGGTCTGGCTACATGCTGCAAGACTTAAGATTATTGAATGATAAGTTGGTCTTAATGGCCCAAAATCCAGTTGTTAGAAGGAGACTACTTTCAATTGCTAATTAAACTCTGAGATCAGATTGGATGCACAAGTTGCAATTTCTGAGTTAGATATTCAAAACCAATACATCAAGCCAATTTTGAAGTTTGTTATTCTTGTTTGAGTGCCTTCCAGTAAGAATTCAAGACTGTAATCTATTTTGTCTATCAGATTTCCAGTAGCGGTTGAAATTTGCTAATTAGCTTTGAAGCACCCAGAACCTAAATGCTTCTGACATCTGCACTTTGTCAATTGATCTATTTGTAGGGTAGTTATGAGGTTGATCGACACTTCGTGCCTATTCTTTCTAGACATGATCTGAAGGCACAGATGTCTTCATCTCTCTCTCTAGCTCTGACTAGATAAGTAAAGTGAAATATAAATAGCCTCCCTATGCCCTGGGAATTCTTGTGTATTAACAAACCCTTATCCTTTATAAAGATCACCACAAAATGGACTTCCCTAAGTTTTATGAAATCTAAAGGATTTTACAAAAATGTAGAATATATATATATATATGCTTCCTAAAGAGGCCAGAGACACTACTTTGTTATAGCTGCAAAGTCAAAGACCTCTTTTTAGGTTCATAAAAGAATCCAAAAATATGATACTCGACTTATGTATCTATTGTCTATTGAAGAAGAATCAAGATGTTTCTAGTAATGGCTACTTGTTAACTGTTTATATACTTTCTGCTTATTAGAAAACTTGAAAATTTCTAGATGTTGAAACCTTATTTTTGGTGGGCTAGCAATCGGATTCATGAACATCTTCAAGGCTATTTAAGCTGTTGTTGGACCATGCTGTTATGTTCATAATCCATATTCTTCTCCTCATTCTGGTTTAGTTGAGGATTGCTCATGTACACATCATTGTATTCTAGCATTGGCCTCTGAACTTGTGTTGCCATTTTATGAAATTACTTTACTATCCTAGTTGGAGCGCTGCTATATAGTGTATTCTAATTTTGCTTCTTGGTCTTGATTCATTTAGAATAGCCAACTTGAGGAGATATGACCAAAGTTATGCTATCACCTATTTCAATAACTGACCCATGATTTAGAAACAAAGTTCTTTGGTGTAGGTGAGTTCGTGCTGCACAGGCCTGGAATTATTTTTTTCCCTAAATGCATAATTTTATTTTAATGATTGCTAACTTTAAATATATTCTCAAAAAGAGCTATGGTAATGATCTTGCTTTATCTGGCCTTGTCATAGGCTGCTGATTTATGCACCAAACTAACTACTGTACAACCTGGTTGTTTATGTTGTACATATAGTAACTAAAAAGTAGTTAATTCTCTCCACTGCATTCTGTGCTCTCATTGTGTTTCGCTCAATATTTATAACGCTGATGGAAAAACCAATATGAGAAAAAAATAGAAAGAAGAGAAAAAACCCCATCCCTATATTTGTTACAAGTTCATTATTTGATGCTCCAGGGGAAGAGACGGGATACATGGTGCCCAGGTGAACTTTCACGGCAGACTCTTCAAGAGGTACTATCTTTACTGTTGCTAAAAATGCATCCAATTTACCTATCTTGTTTATTGTTTCTCAAAGTAGATATAAATATACTTGATGTTTAAACTCTTAATGAATGAATGTGTTTTGGACTTCAATTGACTAGACTATTTGACGATTAACGATAAAATTATCATTTATCAAAAGAATTTATTCGGTTTGGACGAATTTCTTTTCCTAATTATGCAAGCTTTTATCTCTTTCCCATGTTATTATCCACCTTGTTTTGCCTCATTTTGATATTAACTACTAACTGCTGAGTAGAATTTTGAGGTATTGGTGTTATAAATCCCACACATTTGCAATAAGGTTTGTGATATGTCAGTTTTCAATGATGCAAGCTGAGAATGTTCTGCTTTCACTTAGATGGATGCTAATATGCAATCAAGGGCTTCTTCCATAAAACCCATGAGCCGTGATATGGGCCCACTTATTCCTTTTGAAGAATTGGTGAGTGGAAATGAAGTGGGGAATGATTTCTGCCAGCAACATGAAGATGATAACAATAATGCATCAGAAGACTGTACTTTTCCTGATCCATGCGCTTTATTGCATGTGACAAATAGAAGAAAGGTACCACCAAGGAAGAAAAGCTCCCTTGAGGTTTGTATCACAACATTCACTAACATTTCCTCAGATTTTTGTGCCTCCCTAATATGTTTTGTTTTATCAGGACCACGAATTGGTAGAAATGCAAGTAGCATATGAGGAATTGCTTCTCAAATTTGAAACTCAGGTTATTGTCTTTCCTTGCAGCTTCTGCTTTGAAGAACATGATGCACCACCTTCTTTATTATCCTTCTTGTTGATCTTTATACTAATTATTTTTATTCTTTTCCATACAGAGAACGTTGAGTGATATACAGATTGATTGCTTAACAAGACAACTAGCTGAGGCTGATCTATATGACTCTGCTAAATTTAATGGCTATAGAAGTTCCAATTATGTAGATAAAAATATAAGTTCAAGGGAGTCAGAGGCAATTCATGTTATCAAACAACTTCAAGAAAAGGTTTATTTTTGTTTCCTCTCTGCAAGCTTGGTTTCTTTATTTTCACATACTTATTTTTTGATTTCCTTTTTCATTGTTGTGAATTTTTTGTAAATTATCATCTAGGTAAAATTGGTTTCTTTACTTGGTTTTTTTATTACTTATAAGTTGTGATTTATAGTTTATCTTTTACCTCTCAGATTAAGACCTTAGAAATGGATAAGTCCTCAAGTCAGCAAAATCTTAATAGTGTTGTTGATCTAGCAACAGAGCAAAGCAAATGTGCCAGGGAGACGTTTGAAGAGGTAATCATGATTTCTGCCAATTTTTGAATTTCTAAGACAGGAATAGAGCTGAATTATGGACTATTGCCTGAGTGAACTTAAAAAGAAGCAAGGTAACTTATATTGGCAACAATGGATTTCACTTATTGGAATCAACTGCTGTGAACCGTTGGCTCAGTAATTTCCTCTTAGGGAAAAATGGAAAATCTAGATTGAATTGAGCTCCACGGAGTCTGGGGGTATTCACAATATATGGAGAGCAGGTTTTTAATTTATTTTATGAACTTGTGCATGTGATGCTGGTTATATTTTTATTGAATATTTTCAGAGAGTTAAATTTCCAGATGCTAAGAGCAGTAGAGAATAATCTATTTTCTCTGTCTTTGTCTAAATTACGCAGATTTGGTTAATGCATAACTAATAAGATAACATGTGTTTCTTATCTTGAAGTTTTTGTGAGTTTTATTATCTGGTTTTTATATGTTTTAGTTTTATTTCTAGAAACCTTATATTTTGCAATTCTTGGTTGGAAAGGGATGAATTTGTGTTATGATCCCTTGATAAAGATCTGGTTAATGGGTCTATGGGTAGAAGTTTTTTTACACGTGAGTGGGGTTTGAGGGGAATTTTCTTCTTCTGCCTATGATGGTAATGGCACAAGCTCACTAGAGAGAACTTGTAGATCTCTTGAGTTTTGAGCACTCAACAACTGTGGAAAATTTTCATTTCACAAGTTTATGGAATTTAAATACAACTGAGGTATAAGTATAACCACCTCCTACAAAAAAGAAATGCAAACAGACTTTGGAGGAATATCCTCCAACAACTAAGGGACACAATTAAGAATACGAATAACTGAAACTCAACTAAGCACTAAGAAGACGGCACCACTAAAAACTAAACAGAAGCATCAACAGTAGATCTTGCTTGGACTTGGTCAATCAGCACCTTTTTCTTCTGACCATGAGTAAAATGCTCGTAAACTTGCCGCGGTTGCTTAGGATTGCTAAAATTTGGCAAATTATGTTGTCCTATGGAGGTGCTGTCAAAGATATCATCGTGGAAAATTATATATAACTCATAAAAGATGTCTCATAAGGGCAATCCGTCGTTTGAAAAAATTGTTTCAATAAAAGGAATAAAAACATAGATAATTTGAACTTAGATTTCTCTACTTCTTTTTGTGTTTATGTAACCCAATAGTAGGTTGCTAGTGGCACTTTTCCTTGAATATTCATGTGAATAGATATTTGTCCTTTTTCACTTCATTATTTTGCACATTTGGAAAGTTTTGTTTTTGCGTTTTGCAATTGGATTTTGAATTTGTGTATGCTTTACAAATCTCAGCTACATGAAGAGCTCCAAAAAGCAAGGGAGGAGGCTAGGGTGGCTCGTGAACAGCTTGCTTCTGGGGAATCAGCAAGAGTAATTGATGTATGTGTATTTTCTGATTTTTTTTTTTCCAATCATGTGAGGATCTGTTTAGGACTTGTTCTTTACATTTTCTATAATTTGCATAACGTAAACTGTTTCGGTCACATGTTTTTGTTGGTCCAATCCTTGAAAGCTGATTTCTATTATCTTTTGGAGGTGGCATTTGAGTCTGAGATGAAGCTTTCCATGGAGATTCAAGATATAGTGTGTGAAGTTCAGAACTCTAGAAAAGTTATGGACAGTGTTCCGTCACTTTTGGATGAGGTTTTCCAGAGTCTTTCTGGTATATTTGATGTGTTCAATGTGAGTACTTTTAAAAACTCTCCTGAAACTTACCTTTTTCAATTGAACTGCAATTTGGGGTATTTATGCCTTTGTCCATGATGTTTGCTGTTATTCTATCTATATTGCCTATCTATATACACTTGAGTCCTGCATCTATCGAAAGGTTAACTGTTGTTCATTTTAATTCAGGATTTTAAGGCTTTGATTTATCAGAGCTCTCAGAAGCAAAAATTGATTGCCAGTAATCATGAGAATTTGTGCTTTTCCATGAGGCAAAAGCTTGCTGAGGTTGAGAATGAGAAGGTATGGTCATGCTATGTATGATACATGAGACTACACCATATCTGAAAAACAAGTTCACTGAGTTTTTCCCTGAATTGCAGCTTCGTTTGTGCAATCAATCTGTTGATCTTCAGAAGCAAATAGAAGAACTGAGACGTGATGCACAAAATTATGAAGATTCTATGAAAGTGAGCTCTGTTTTTTTAGTATGCATTGGCTTTTATTTATTGATGTCTTTGTCTAAATTCTTTATATCTTGCAGGAGCTCTCTGAGAATTGGGGAATGGAAAAAGAAGAACTGCTTTCTCAAGTTCAAAGTCTTAAAAAGGAAGTATTTAGCTTATCATCGTGTTCCTTGGCCAAGGAAAAGGAAAACTTGAGAAAAGATCTTGAGAAAACAAAAGTTAAGCTAAAGGAGACAGAGTTCAAGCTCAAGAATGCCATTCAGGAGAAAACTAAACTGGAGGTTTTGTATGATATTCTTGGACTTTCCAGTATGCCTTGTCTATCCAAATTTAATTATTATTCCTCACTTGCATATTTCAAATTTGTAGAGTGAGAAAGCATTTTCTGAAAGGGAGGTTAAACGATTGTATGGTCAGAATACTCGTCTTGAGCATGATATTAACAAGCGTGACTCATTTGCTGGTAGAAGGTGTGACGCAGTTTCTGAGAAGAGTTTAAAGGTATTCGATCACAAAGACAGTGGTACTGTGTTGTTTAACTATAATTGAATATATAATTGTCGGCATGGATAAAATGTTTTTTTTTTTATATGCTCTGCATCAGTTAGAAGTCGATTAAATTTACTTAGATTGCACTATCAGTGTTGAATGAAGATTTGATAATCAATATGTTTTCTGAATTATTATTATTATTTTTTTTTTGAATGAACTTTGTTTTGTTGGTTTCATTCTTGCCTGCCTTTCTGCTTCTCATCTTAAGTGGTAATTTTTGCAATTTAATGTTACAGTATTTTTTTTGAGTAGCTATTGCTATTTTCTTTATGTTGCTGTCACTCCGTGACTGCGCCGGCCAATCATAAGCATTGATATTATAACATTGTGTTTGGTTTCCTACTTTTATTTAAATTGCACTTAAATACAGAATTAAATAAAAATTCTTATTGGTTATTAATATTGCATCATACTCAAAGTTTTCATTATTTATGTATTCATCTGCTTCATTCATCTCTTGTGCATTTGAGGCAATGTCATGCAATGCTACAAATTTTTGATGCTTTTTTAGATAGATATTCCGCTGAGTTTTCCTTCCTAGGAATTCCATCTTGATATGTTTTTGGGAAGGATCAGAATTATTTTGAACATATTGGTGATTTAAGATTTTAAGTTCCCTTTCTCATCTGTCTCCATATCTTTTCTTGTATCATTTAGGAAGATTACAGAAAGTTGGAAGTTCTTGGATTTGAAATGGAAGCAACTATTGCTTCTCTGGAAGAGGAAGTTGAAGCTGCACACAAGGAAAAGGAAGAGGCTATATTTAGAAATGACATTTTGGCTTCAGAGTTGGAAGCCTTGGTTGAAAAGTTGAACTTATCAAATGCTGAACTGAATACATTGCAAGAAGAGGTTTTAGTCCTGGTAAATTGATCTGCAATTTCCTCTTATCTCTGTGGTATAATACGGTCATCATTGATTCCATTAAATTGAAATACTACTGTCCATTTTCGCTCATATTCTTCTCTCCTGGTTCAGACACAAAAATTAGAAGAATCTAAAATCAACCAACAAGCAATGGAAAGTTCTATCAAACTGTTGGTAGAAGAGAAGGAAGAATTAGCAATGGTGACCTAACATTTTAAGTTTGATTGTGAAGAAAATGCTGTATTATTTTCATTGTGTTTTGTTGGAAAATTGTTGATCATCATCTTTGATTTTGTAGCAACTTACTGATTCACTACTGGAAATGGAAGAGGAAAAAGCTATATGGTCTGCAAAGGAGAAAGCTTCTATTGGAGCCATAGAAGAGAAAACAAACTTATACTATGTGGAGGTTACGTCACTTTCCAACGCATTGTCAGAGGTAAGCTACAATATCTGATTCATAAGACAATTTGAATGGTCAGCTTATCTGCTCTGGAAGGTTCTTTTTCTTTTTGATGAATTATGGTATTTGTGGTGCTGTGCTGGATTAGTTATCCCAAGTCTAAGATTTACTCAGTTTTAGAATGACAAAGATTAGCTTTAGGAGAATTTATATTGAAAGGAATTTCTTTGTTTCTTCTTTTGTTACTATTTCTGACAGATGTAAAATTCACGAAACACTTTCTTATTATATTCTCAAGGAATTTTGCTGCACAGTTGTGGAATTTTATTCCTTGCCATCCGTAAATTGATAAAAAAATGCAGTAACAAAATGAGATGTAACGTTTGCTAATACACTATTTTTTTTTTTAACCAAGTAAAGACATGAGAAAACAATTATCTTCAAGTTGGATTATCAAGCAATTTATTGAATTGTTCTTTAAAATTCTATTGCGGCTATTGAGGTTTCAATCCTTAGCTTGTGTTGGATAACCTTGTCAAATGCCTTAAGATGCTTGAGTTAGCGAAGGTGGATAAATTGTTGCTCAGCATGTAAGGAAGTTATGTAATGATATAATGCAACAAACATTACAACAAACATTACACACAAATGTTTACCACCAAGACACAAGTTATTAAAACCCTACTACAGCTATCAACTGCACTAACCAATGAAGAAAGGACATGAATAAATATATAAACCCTCGAAACTTAATTGAATTAAAAAAAAAAAAAAGGTAAACTGACTTTCATTACTGTCATTTGTATGACATGGCTCTATTATTTGTCCAAAATTGAGTGAATTCCAACAGACCTTGGATGTCCAGGTCTTCAAGTTTTGTCATTTGGTGTATTATCTGTAGCTGTTTTGTTGAACATAAGATGTTAATTATCCAACATTTCATTGCTTGAGTTCTTGATTGCATTAGTTATTCTTTATAAACAACATTAGAAAAGTAAATCATAAAGTTAAAGAGGGAAAAGTGTACTTCTGTTGATTAAATCTATTTTGATTTCGTTATCATAAACATACAACAATCACATGCACAAGTATTTGTTTTATATTATCCTTCATAATTGATACATTGTTTGGCATATTGCGAAATCTTATTAGAATTGATTTCTTATTTCGATAAGCTACATTTTACATTGACAATGAAAAGTGATAAAATGTAGGTAAGAAGTGAGTTAGAGTTTTGTAGGGAAGAATGCAAAGACCTCAAAGAAAGATTAGCATGCTCTGAGGAGAATGAGAAACATGAGATGAAATGCAGGTTTGTCATATTGTATATATAATATAGTAGATGGAAAGTGGATTTAGCCATTCCTTGGGGACAGCAACTGTACCATTTATTATAAGCTGTATTAATAATTTCAATGCTGATATTGAAGTTATATTTTACTGAAAACTTCAACTTCTGCTCCTTTTTCCATTGTTTCAGCATGGAGAAGTCTTTAGAGATTGATCAGCTAAAAGATGACTTGAAAAGAGTTGATGCTGTGAGCAAACAATCTCAAGAGGTAATTGTTTAATTAACATTTACTTTTCTCCCTTTCTGGCTTAAGATTTTGGAATTGAATATGAGATGCTCTGTTTGAGTTCATTATGCTGGCAAAAAACTGGATTCACTTTTAGAAGAATATTTTTAACAACAAATGAGAAAACATTTTTTGTATGGACAGCTGGACAACAGAACAGAACTGCAAATGACTTCCAGATTCCATTTGTGAATCAATTGACTATCTTGAGCTAACCAAATTAGTTATTAAGCGCTAGTACATGATTATTAATACTAGTTAATAACCAAATTAGATCAACTGCTTCAATGACGAAAGCTATTGCAATCGGAATGAGGCCATGCACATTCTCTCTTTCACAACATTTCATAACATGCCATTCTTTACTTATTTGCTTACCTTTAATACTCAGGTCTAAAAAGAATGATATGGGTAAGAGTATATTTTATGGACGAATCAATGTAATGAACATAAAAGAGTTTCGACAATTGTAGATTAATTATATTTGACTTCTGTTAAAATGATAATACTAATTCACATTTTATGATGTCTTTTATGCTTTTGCCATATAATACTTAAACAATGTACTATCTTTCATAAGTAAATGCCTTTTTATCATAATACTGATGTCATGCGGTGAATTTGTCGTTTAATCTGAATTGATTTTTTGATCCTCCAAAAACTTTTTTAGTTCAGTACAAGAGCTAAAATTGACTAGAGAAAATAAGGGACCATTTAATTAAACAAGTAGAATTTAATGGTAGTCTTAAAAATTAGATAGTTCTACCTTGATTCAAGTTTATTGAAATAAAAAATATCATACAAAATTTTGGTTCCTTGTGCAACAAATAAGAAGTTGGAACCTTATTTCTAAGAATTGCATTCTATTCCTATCTTAGAGTGAATCAACCATAAGGTTGTGGTTCTTGATTGACGGATTGAGGAATAGGCTTCATATTATTCATGAGTTGAGTTTCATTCCCATTCTATGTTTTTTAAGTTGATCATTTGGTTTTAACAGAATCTTCAGAACCAACTTTCTGAAATGATGAAAGAACGTGATACATTGAAGGCTAGGATGGAAGGGAATCTGACCAATGCTAGTGAAGTGGAGTTTATGAGAAAAAATTGCGATGACATGGTACTTTGGTCATAAATTCGTTCATTATTTGGTCGTACCCTATTGTATCCCAATTTCTCTTTTTAATGTGACAATAAATTGTGCCAGCTGGCGGGTGCAAAAGCTCAAGTCGAGGAACTGAATGCAAGAATTTCCAGTATGGAAGCCAAGATGCAGAATGTAAGTATTCACATAAATATGTGCAATCACTCATCACTTAATTTTTGACTTCCTTCTATTATGGGCCTCACTTCTGATTCACAGTATTAGGATTAGAAATGCTTTTGGGTGTCAAATTAGTTTCATTTCATTGCAAATACAGACACCTTCATTCCTCTCTCTCTCTCTCTCTCTCTCTCTCTCTCTATGTATATATATGCACACACACACTTTTGTTATTAATGCACTTTGAAATTTGCCAATCCTTATTGCTTGAACTAGAGAGAAATAAATTGATCTTGCTAACATAGGATGAAGTGGAGAACAATATATTGAAGGCAAAACTTCGAATGAGGCTTCGTGGAACACAAGCAAGCTTAGATGCCGTTCGATTTAGGTACAAGGAAGCATTAAATGAGTTGGATGTGATGAATAGGGAGTATAGAGAGGCTACAGCAAACTTGAAGGAGCGGTTGGCTTTTTATGCAAAGGAAGTGCTCAACCTCAAGAAGGAACTCTCGGGCCAACGGAAGTGAGTATTAGATAATCCGTTTGTATATTCAATCTTTTCTATATGGGTGGTGAAAAGCTTAAAATGTTGTATTTTACCTCCTTACCCTTTGTAACACAGTATCTTGTTGTACATTATCTGAAAATAAACTATGGTGGCACCAAAGTTTATCAAAACATTTGTCTATCTAAATTGCATGATTTTTTAGTGCAAAAAAGGGCTCTTCAAATGAAATAGATTTTACTTGTAGAACTTGTTGCTCCATGGTTGTACCTTTGCATTTTTTTTCAGTCATTTCAAGTCTTTTAGTATATGGATGTGCAAGTATTTACAACGGGATAGTGCTCTTTTTCATTTCTCACTTGACATGTTCATTAACCAAAGCAGCGAATTCGAAACGCAAAATCTGCTAAAAAGAACAAATGGTCATCTAATCATGTGGATGAGAATTCCAATTAAGACTTTTCAAAGTGGTCTTTAGTTCATATGCTAATATTCTCAATTAAAAGGTTTCACATGTAATGGCAAAAATGTATTAATTGGATGGTATCACAAAATTGACACGTTTATATTACATTCCATTTGTCAGCCACGGCCTCACAAATCTTTGAAATACACCAGGCAGCACTCAATGGATATCCAGAAACTGCGAAAAACAGAAATAATGACAGTCAAGATGTTGCTCCAAATACAAATCACATCAATGACAATCGTTAATGTTAAAATAACTGATTAGAATTTGATAATGATACAAAAATACATCACCATATCAAACCATATTATACTTAAAATAAAATTGGAAACATCTGCAGGAAGAGTGGAGGATACGAGACCAGCCACCATTATCAAGATTCTTGGAATATGATGGCGGAGTTGGAATCATTATGTTTGGTCTACTTTTATTTTGCATAGCATGGAAAATTAAATTAAGCATATAGCTCATTCCTGAAAATTGGGGAGCTATTTTTCCTTGCTGATAGTCTGATACATCATTCTTCAGCTAGTAAGAAAAGGGATAATGACATAGGAAGTGACTGAAGATTTCCTATTATTCTATTTCTAACTTCTATAAGTTACTCCACGTGACAGAAAATATAATAAATATGATGTAGCACTCTAGGTCCCAACACCCATATTTCTTTAAGTCAACCAGAGAAACCAGATATAGAGGATCAAAAGAAAGTTACCAAATAGTCTCAGTAACATATAAAGTTTACTTATTTATTTAAGTTTTCCTATTCCAAGAATCCTTAAAAGGACATAAAAGTTTTAAATAGTTACCCATGACAGGACTACATTTACAGGAGGAATATATATACTATAAAACAAAAGACATTTAGATAGATATAAGAATAAATTCAATATTGTTCAATTTAACTGCAGAAGTCAAGCAGCACTATCATTTTAAACTGGAGCAAGTGAATTGGCTTGTCAACTCAATACAGCAATTGATAATGTAAAACGATCTTTGCCAGTTCACTAAACATATCTTATGCATGCAGGTTACATGCACAGTAAAGAACGATTCTGACAATGAATGGAGAAATTCACATGCACTTTCAGTACAAATTGCATAAAGGGAGTGGTCCAAAAGGAACTTACTTGCTATGAAATCATCTATATAATCACAATCAATTTTTCCATGGGCCATTGCACCAACCTGAAGATTTAGGTGACAGATCAGATTCTCGTTATAGGTCTCAATAAGAGAGACTGCAAAAAAGTTTTAGATAATTGTCAACATACCACAAAAACAAGATCTGTATCATCACCAATTGCATCTACATACTTGCGGATTTTAACCAACTTTTCTGAACTAAATGAGAACCCTGATGCAAAATCCAGAACATTTATCATTTCTACCGAGTAGCAACCATCCACTATGAAACAGCTGAAAACTTAAAGCTTACCTATTTTACGAGAATTGGCAGGCAGGTACTGGGTCACAGGATTCTTGATTACTCGCAGAAGTTTCTCACGCTTCCCAACAGCAGTTATACTTAGTTTTTGAAGCAACTGCACTGCAAGATTGAATCAAGTAATAAATGGCATGACAGAGAAACCTAAAGCACAAAAAATATCCAAGTCAGAATGGTATGTAAATTAATAGCATGACTAGTTTAACTTACACATAATTCCGGAAAACCGCTTGTACGTCCTTGGAATACGCACATGGGGTTTCACTTCAAAAAGAACACCTTTTTCTGTTTTCACATACACAGCTCGCAACCTCCCAGCCTTATTCACTGGGCTGTCTAAGATTGATAAGAGAGCCTGAGATCATGAACAATTATAATATAAGGAACAAATCAGCTGGAGATAAAGTTAATTTAACATTGTGAAATGTCAATGTCATCCGTATTCCAAAACTATTTTGTTAACTGAGCAAGGGAACTCAAAATTTTGACTGACATTTAGACTAGGTTCCCATCTATCTAAAGATCAAGGCTAGCAGTGACCTTAAAATAAGAATTCCCAAACAACTTGAACCAGGATATAGCCTTCTTTTCCGGCTAATAGAAGAAATCTCAGACATTGTTAAGAACACCATGCAATGACAATAAGAAAAACAAATTATCGATGACAAACAACAATATTTAACCACAGCATGAACTAACCTGATAAACAATGTCAGGCCTATAATCAGCAGGATTTTTATTATTCTTTCTCAGGAAATTCGCATGATCATCAGAATTCAAGATTTGGTAAGTCTGCATAAACAAAACTAGTTAGATAGAGGAAAAATTTTAGGAGAGATGATCAAACACCAAATGAGTGAACTTTCAATGAAAACCAAAAACCAAAACTTCAAAGTCTACACTTTGATAACGTAAAACCATAATTTGAATCCCATTAATGCAAACTACGTTTAACATTAATGTAACTCTACACATCTATATTCAATTATGCAAAACTTAGATTAAAAAAGACGCAAATACATGTAATAAAAAAGGATCACAATCAATTAACCTTTCCAACTTTTGCAACTTCCAATGAGGCCTTTTCGAGCACAAAAATGATCCCAGGCTTTTTCACGTTAGGATCACTTGGGACAATTGGGATTCCTTCTATTTCATCAGCTTGCGCGTCTGATTCTTTCTTTTCTTCTTGTTCTTGTTCCTTTTCTGTTTCTTCTTCTTCTTCTTCTTCTTCTTCACTGCTTTGAGTACCCATTTCAGCTTTTGATGTCATAGCTCTCTTAGCCTCTTGTATGCTTTGTTCATCCACATCTTCCTCTTTGTCATATCTCTCCTTTCTCTTCTTCCGCTTCTGCCCTTTTACCCCATATGGCCTTACCATTTCTCTTCAAGCCCAAAAAAACTAAACCTTCAATGCAAAAAAAAAAAAAAAAAAAAAAAAATTTAAACCTTCAATGCAAAAAAAAAAAAAAAAAAAAAAAAAATTTACTTTCCAAAAATATAGCAGTCTCCTTTCCTTTACAGTCTCCATGGAGATGATAGAATAAGAAATTCCACTGATATAACAGTCTATTAGCAGAAAAGAAGAGAAGGGGAGTACTCGTATTATATGGGAGTTAAAAAAAAAAAAAAAAAAAAAAAAATTTACTTCAAAAATATAGCAGTCTCCTTTCTTTAAGTCTCCATGGAGATGTATAGATAAGAAAATTCCACTGATATAACAGTCATATAGCAGAAAGAAAGAGAAGGGGAGTACTCGTATATATGGAGGTTGAAGCAGGAGGAACGATTAACTAGTAAGATGAGGAGGGTTTAGGGTTTAAGATTAAAGTGACAGTGGAGACAGAAACAGAGAAGACGATGTAGTGTTGTTATCGTTGCTGTCTACCAATTTAGGGCTGCGTTATTCAGCGTGTTGGTAGATTTGGGCCTCATTTTCCTAATGGGCTGGGCTTTAAGGCCCTATACTTGAGCTTTTCCCTTCTATTACAATTGAATATAAATATTATGTCATATTTTGTTAACTTTATTTCTTATATGTTTGATTTTTTTGTGACTACAATAAAATAGTGTTGAGGCTTAACAAATATGTCTATTATAAATTAAGAGAATTATTGTAATTTACTATGTATTTTTCCAACAAAACAATTTTTTTTATATTCAAGAGAAAAATTTAATGATAACTAAATATGATAATTTAATTCTAGAATTATTTTTCTAAACCTTGAATTTCTTAAGAAAATAATTTTTACCTAAGAGGGCAACTAAATATCCTTCAAAGTAAAATTTTCATATATTGTGCTAGACTCATGATTTATTGAGTCTATAATAAAGATTTGTAGGGGAGAAGGATTTTCAAGTGACCAATCAAAATCTAATAAGGTGAAAGTATATGTTAAATTGAATTTTGGCTATGGAAAATTTATTAATGCTTACACTATATATGAAAAAATGTACCTTATGCTCACATTCACTTTAAGTTATAAAGTTAATTATGTATAAATACATAAAATAATGTGTATAATACATGCACTCCATTTAATAATTCCGGTTTTATTATTTGGAACAAAAAGCAAAAATTATAAATAATAATAGTCATTTTCAAAAAAAAAAATATATTATGAGCTCGTTGAGAATAAATAAATTCCACAAAATTTTGTGAAATTTATTTGGAAATCCAAAATGTTGTATTTGGAATGGAAAAAAAATACATATTTGAATTCTACGAATTGAATTTTATGAAATTAAGTATACTTAGCTGAAATTCTAATAAAATTGATAGAATTTATAAATGAATTTCACAAAATTGACCGTTGAAATGTTTATTAACAAAATTACCCTCCACTATAAACTTAACTATTTTTACTTTTTTTATTCTTTTTTATTTATTTTCTTTGAAAATTTTCAAACTATAACAACGTTATTTTTTTAATCCAAAAATGACATTAGTTTATATTTTTATTTTATTTCCTTTTTGTTTTTTTTTTTTTGGGAATTTTCATACCAGTGACGTTTTTTTTTTTTCTTTTTGAAGTCTAAGTAATAACGTTAGTTATTATTACTGTGAAACTATAAAAATGAGTATCAACAATTATTTTCGAATGCAATTAAAAACAATAATAATATTCTTAATATTTTTTTAGTTTCCAAATTAACTACTTAAATCAACAAAATTTTTTACATCAATTAAAAATAATTATCACGATGAATGTTACTGCTTATATAATTAATTAATTAGCTTGAAATATTAATGTACTTATTTATATCAAATTTATTATTTATATTTTAATAAAAAATAACAAGTTATTATATTGAACATAATAAATATAATTGGTGTTTATTATTTGCTTTTGTTAAATTATTATGTTAAGAGTATTATAAAAAATAAAGACAAATGAATTTCCATTTGAGAATTTATTCCAAATATAATTTTGTGAAATTCAATTAAATTTCTTATTTTAAACAATAGCATACCAAATATGACTTGGAATTCATTTACAAATAAATTCTACAACCATGATTCATTTGTTTCAAAGGGACCACAAGAGTAGATAACAAATTACAAATGTTTTTTCTTTTTAACTTAAAATAATTCATATATTCATTAAGTACATTTCTTTTTATTGCATTTATTTTTTAGAAAAATTCAAACCTACAAAACTTAATTTCATCTTAATTTAAAAAATTAAATAATAAACCAAACCAAAATTAAACTAAAATTCATGACTTATGTTAGTATAGTTGCAATTAATACAAAATATATATATACACAGAAGGTTAAAAAAAAAGGCCACGGTATATAGTTAATTACATGATCAACGACCATCAGAGTCAAATGGTTCTGTAAAAGTTAGTGAAGGAATAGAAATTTCCCCAGTTGAGATTGATTCATGTCTCGCAATTCCTCGATCGGAATATTGAAATTTAATCACAGAATTTACATTCTCCGGCAACTGAGCAACACCATCTAACAATTCCACTACACTGGACATACTTGGCCTAGCTTCAGCCATAGGATGTGCACATAACAACCCAAGTTTCAATACCAACTCAACTTCATCTCTAACATATTCTTCCCCTAATCTTGGATCTACAGTCTCCAAAATAGCTTCTCTATCCCAAGAATCCATTACCCAATCAATCAACATTACCTTCTCCGGCGACGTTCGAGGGTCAACCGGTTTCCTACCGCAAGTGACCTCTAGCATAAATATTCCAAATGCATAAGTATCTGTACAGGTGTTTGATTTTCCACTTTGAACAAGCTCCGGAGCTATATAACCTGGAGTTCCTACTACATGTGAGGGTTGAGGATCATTCCCATGATCACATAATTTTGCAAGTCCAAAATCTCCCAATTTGGCGTTCATGTCATTGTCTATTAGAACATTTGCAGGCTTAACGTCTCTGTGGATGATAATTTGTAACCATTGTTGGTGTAGATAAAATAGAGCAGAAGCAACATCTTTGATTATCTTGAATCTTTGTTTCCAATCCAGAATGGTGTTATTTGGTAAGCGGTAAAGAAACTTGTCTAGACTTCCATTGGGCATATAGTCATAGACCAAGAAGAGTTCATTTTTTCTCCTGCAATAACCAAGAAGTCGAACCAAGTTTGGGTGTCTCAGACGACCAATGGTTGCTATTTCCGCTACAAATTCTCTCATTCCTTGTTTAGAATCATGGGAAATTTTCTTTACTGCAATTTGAACATTCGAAAATGGTAAACTTCCTCTGTATACACTACCAAAACCTCCTCTTCCAAGAAGCTGTCGATCTCTGAACCCTTTTGTGGCTATAAATAAGTCTTTATAGGCGAACCTATAAGGCCCATAAAGCACTTCCCAATCTTCAACTACTTGGATGAATCTTCTCCTCCTAAAAATGATTAAACCTCCAAAAATAAGAACTATAACAAGAACAGCTCCTACTAAAGATAATATTATGGCCAACACTTCTTGTTTTTTTGCATACCCATCTCCTCCATTATCACTCCCTTCGTTCTCATTAACACCAGGAATCTTAGGAATGTTAGAAAGATCAATCTCATCAGCTTGACCATTAGTCTTGAAACTCCAACCCAGAATGTAATGAGCAGACTTTGACCCAGTAGAGGAAGTGAACCCAACGTACATAAAATCAAATAAAAGAGAGGAAATATCTCTTGTCAAAGACAAAAGAGGAACTTGAGGTTTTGGTATGCCTACTGGATGTATAGTAACATTTAATTCTTGATTCAAGCTTCCATATTCTACCCAAACCTGTATTGCTTTTCCACTTTTGAGATCCATCTTTCTGAAACGGCTATGGTCATTGTTACTATAAAACCCTGCAGTAGCAGAATTTATAGAGACCAACCCATTAATATCAATTCCAATATGGTTATCATCAATATCATCAAACTGAAAATCTTGATCTGTGTCAATCTCAATAGCAACAATATGATTTGAACTTTTCCCATTGTTAGTTGCATTAAAAAGACCAAGATATTGATTTGCAACAGCATCAGGGATACCTTTTGATGGCGAAATAGCAAAGGCAAGTCCATGGCCGCTAAATTCTTGATCTTTGTGTACTACAGCGAAGATGAAAGTAGTAGAGAAGGAGAAAAGAGAATTAGTAGAATTTGAGTTCTTGAACTGAATAGGAGTGTTATAAAAGACTTGGCTTGCTTTGCTTAAGCCTCCATCGGTATATATTAACCGAGAGAATAGATTGGAATTGTTCAGCTCTGTACCTTCGCTGCCTAACTTGAAGTAACCATCAAATAAAAACCCACTGTCTTGAATTTTGCTGTAGGAAGATGACAGGTTCAGGAAGAAACACAGTATGAATATTATAATGCAAGACATGGTGTAAAGATTGAGGATTTAGTAAGTAGAAATTAAAGAGAAACAGGTTTTGGAGCCTTAATTATTGTTTTATGATATGAACATAGATAGATATTGTCTGGAAGTAAAAAAAAAAAAAAAATTGATGGAAAATTTCTTTGCAAAAGAAACAGTCGCGAGCTTAACAAAGACGCTGTCTGAATTGAATGCCTTGACCATTCTTTCTTAGAAAAAAAAAATCTAAAGAAAAAATTTTATTGTTTTGAAAGTTTTTATTTTTAGTGGACATAAATATTCGGTTGATTTATTTAGATTTGGCATATAAAATTGACTTGGAGAATATTTTTTAAAAAAAAGTACTTAACGATACCTTTAGTCAAATTGAATGAAGTAGTAAAATAAATTATTTTTCTAAACAAAAATATAAAAATAAAATGAACAGAAAATATTTCTCTCATAATCTAACTTTAAAATTTAAAATCTAGTTAATTGATATCTATTAGCAAAACATTTATAGAAAAAGACAATTACAAAATGAGATTAATTTATATACTCGTACAATATTTTCTTTGAAAAAATCATAATTAAGGAAGGTATTATATATTCTCCATCTTTGAAAAAAGTCCTTAGTCGCATTTAATTTACTTTAATCACTAGACTAAAAGATGAAATTTTCATTAATTAATATATTAAAAATTGACTTAAAAAATTTTTTTTTCCTTTGCTTTCTCCTTCAATTTATAAATCAATAATTCCTTGGCCAGTCTTCACGGGTCATTTTTTCAGCTCACATGTTGAGTTAGCAGTGATTCTTAATTATTATTTGTTTATTAGGCAATCTGAAAAATGAGTAGGTTTGATTTTATTGGTGAAATTGAAACATTTTTTCTAAAGTCATTACGTGTGCATTATTAACTTATTCTTACATTAATCAATTGATTAATCTAATAGCAGCCAGCCCCTATATATATATAGAGGCTGGCTGCTATTACATTAATCAATTATATACATTCCAATAATTAATATCTCTAACAATTACCATAAAGATATATATAAAGTCAAGGTGACTTGTCAAACTTTGGAATAAAAGCCACTTGATTCAAGTCTAAATAAAGAAATTTAATTGTTCAACTTTTATATTTCTCATTCAATAAACCGGTTACCTAGTTCTTTGCATTTTTTTTTTTTTATAAATTTAGAATTTTTTAAAAAAAATTTAGAATTTTTTAAATGTCTATGAGAGTTACATAGGAGAGAGAAAAAAAAAAAAAAAAAAAAATGGTTTTTTTTTTTTAATAAATTTAGAATTTTTAAAAAAAAATTTAAGAATTTTTTAAATGGGGTCTATGAGAGTTTACATAGGAGAGAGAAAAAAAAAAAAAAAAAAAAAAAGCCTGTTGAAGCCAACACAACAAAAATATTTAATTGCCCCTCAACTTTTAATCGAACTAAATTTTTATATTCTTTACTTGCTTAAACTTTGCTCAATCTTACTTTTTTTTTTTTTATTTTGCTAAATTAAATTTACGATTCTTTTACTATTTTTGTTTCTAGAAAAAACATTAGTATAATTCTCAATATAGCCATATTTAATATATTATATAATTTTTGTATTTTATCAAAATTCATAATGCTTTTATACTTTTTACTTATTTAATAGTAAATTTTTAATAATATTTTTTATTGATCGATAAATTTAAAAGTAGACGTTTATGACAAATCCCAATGTTTCTCGTCCATTTATCAATATAAGAAAAGAAATACTTAATGGAAATATATTATATAATTTTTTATTTTATCAAAATCTAATTCTTTATACTTTTACTATATTTAATATTAAAATTTTTAATAATATTTTTATTGATCGATAAATTTAGTAGACGTTTTTGACAATCCCAATGTTTCTCGTCCATTTTCTATAGATAAAGAAATCTAATGGAAAACAAAAGTTATACAGGTCACCTTTTGTGATTTAAAGAAGGAATTGTCTAAGAATTCAAGACTCTTAAATGGGGTTGGGCTTTAGGCTTAATATTTTGGTCTTTCAATTTCTAGTTTGTTTCGTTGGCCCATTTACTTCCAGAACTATTGGTCTCTGCTACTGCTAGATTGCAGGCTTATTCATCCATATCATCTCCTTGTACAGTTTTTAGTTATGCACGGCAAGTTGAATAATAAATTGCTTATCTCATGGATTAGATCATATGGCAGAAATTTTGATAGGTGAGATTGAATAATAGAGATTTCCTATTCTCGATCAAAGATTCTGAATTTGAATTTTGGATATGAGATCTCTTTAAATATTCGAGAAAGAGCGCTTTGCTTCCACTTTGTAGATCTATCTAATGAAAATTTAGATTAATTGAATTAGTAGACTTCAGATACCGAATGGATAAAAAAGAAAAATTTACTCAATCTGCCAATGAGTTGTTCTATACTTGGTTTGGAAAAAAAAAAATCGGCGTCCGAGTCTATAAAAGATCAATTTTTTTAACTATAATTAAAAATCAATTGAGTTTGAATTTAAATCAAGTCAACTTCGAATTTAACAAAATTTTTTAGTGACTTATTTACAATACCAAGTGCAATGCAACCATTATATAAATAATGTAGAATTAAAAATTTTAATCAAGATTATTGTTATTTTTTTTTTTTTTTGAAAAAAATAAACTCTCCTAACTCACTACGATGACGACGGTGATTAAAATAATTAGAAGATTAATGAAATGCCGAAGCCTTGGAAGAAAGTTGGGGAACGGGGAAAAAGCAGGTCCTCCACAAGACGTGGCAGCTAAAACACGTGCATTTGAGGAATTAGTGTGTGCATGCCACGTGCTCGCATGCATATTACACGCATTTTACTTATACGTGCACCCGATGCCCACACAATCTATTTATATTTTATAGAGAAAAAAAAAATTATTAAATGTTATATGGATAAGTCCAGTCTTAGGTCGATTATAATTAATTGCTGTAACTTGTAAATAAAATTGAGAATTAAAATTTAAAAATACAGAATGGAACAGGTTTCGTCATTGGTGAGCTCACAAAGCATTTTATGTTTATTTCCTTTTGTTTGTATGATTAGTGATCATGTTTATATATTCAACTTGTTGCATATTTAAGTTAAAATAAGAAAATATTAGGGTTTAGCATATTTTTGGAAAAAAAACAGAAAAATTTAGCCCAACCAATTAGTTCGATTACTGATTTTCAATTTCACGATATATTTAGTAATATTAACCGTTAGCGATTAGTTTTTAACTGTAGTCGGTAATATAACAGCTTAAATTAGAAGTGTTCGGTAAAAATAATTTATTTAATTAACTGTTTAATTTAAAATAATAAAAAAATATTAATTGTTTAATTAGATGAAATCAAGGGAAATTAAATATGTATATGATTGTTAAGAAAAATCTATATAATATATAAAAGCAGAGACGTCTATCCTAAATGACAGCCAAGTGTAAGTTTTTTAAATTACCAAGTGAAAGAGAATAGTTATTTAGCACAATTGTAAAAAGATCGGTTGTTTTATATTTTCAGATAATATTTTTATGAAAATAATATCTATTAGGTATATTCCCATCAAGATTATGTTATTAAATTAAATTAAAATACGTATAACCCAAGCTATTAAATTAAATTAAATAATTCTTTAAAAAAAATTAGATTAAATGTATTTCTAATCATTCATTAATAAAAAGAACACAATTTAAAAAAAAAAAAAACACTTCCTTTTTCCTTGTTAATAAAAAAACACAGGTCATATATAAGTCAATACAATTCATTTAACATGTTTATGCTATTATATGGGTTACACGTATTATGTTCGTGTCACCCGTCGTGTTTGTGTTAATAAATTTGACACGATTGTTAAATGGGCGGCGTTGTATTGACCCTAATCGTGTCGCATGTTAGGTAAATATGTGTTGAACCCGACATGTCGATCTATTTTAACACTCTTAATAATTTTATTATTTTTGAATAATATTATAAAAGATTATTTCATATTTTAATATTACTTCACGCATCGCGTGGATTCTAGCACTAATTTAATTAAAAACTAAATAACATTTAACATTAAACTAGCATAAAAATTATGTTACTGAACCGTATGATTAATAGAGATAAAGTTTTACATCGGTCTAGATGTTGAACCAACAAATTTAAACTGATTTTTGAACTATTTTGATACGGTTCGGTTTTAATACAAGCTCACATTTAGTTTTCGATGTTTCCGGTTAGGTTACACTTTTGCACCCTGGATAATTTAAAACAAAATGAAATAGAATATTCTCTTGGAAAAGATTCTTCCTCTATTGAATTCAAATATAGTATATATAGGTTATTGTACGAAATTTACAATTTATGTTCAACTTGTTCTATATACTAAAGGTCATAAGGGTTTGAAACACACCTGTCAATGTCATAATCAAAATTTAATAAGGTCATCAACTATAAAAATATTCAAGAGGCTAAACTCATCCTCTAATTATTTTATTTTAATTATAAAAATAAAATGAAATAAAAATTACTTAATAACTACCTAGTAACTTTGTTATTTGCATTATGTTTGGAATACATTAAGAATGGATGGTAGGCCATAGAATTCATTTATAAATGAAATCTCATGTTTGCTTAGTATGTCATAATTTGAAATAAGAAATTCAATTGAATTTTATAAAATTATATTTGAAATAAAATTTAAAATTCATTTATTTTTATTTCTAAAATAACCTTGACATAATAATTTAACAAAATCAAATAATAAACTTTAATTATATTTATTGTATTCAATATAATAATTATATTAGTTTTTTTATTCAAATATAAATAATGAAATTCATATAAATAAATACACTCACATTTTAGATTTGTTATAGCAATAATAGTCTTACAATATATAAAATTCAAATAAATAACAGTCTTACAATTTAGATAGATATTAAAAAACCAGTTTCCAAAAATGACTCCAAAAGTTTTATAGATACTATGAATGAATTCAAGCATCCATTGACTCTAATTATATTTTTGGTAAGGAATATTTCAGATCAATATACAAATGGAGACTAATTCTAAATAATTTTTCTTTTTTTTTAAATAATAAACGATGAGTGTATTTGTATTTTCCTAAAAAATTAAAATTAAAATTGTTTTGATGAAGTTTTGATAAAATCAATAAGTTAAATAAGCAAAAATAAAAATAAAAAATTTACTTTTTTTTTTGTAGAAGGAAGTTAGTTTCACCATAAAAAGTTGGATTACTTAACTTTGTGAAATTCATTTAGAAATTCCACTTATTTTTATATAATTTAGTAATTTTCAATTCCATATAATTGAAATTTACATTTTATTTTCATTCTAAATAAAAAAAAATATGAATTTCATAAAATTTTATAGAATTCATTTATTTCAAATAAAGAGTTAAGTATCGATCAAATAAAGAGTTAAGTATCGATGAATAATGAAAAATCAATACTATAAAAAAGAAGGAAAGAATACAGCAATATGTAGAACTAAATTATAGAAAGTACCACAGCACATAAATCAGCAAGTGGAAGGTAGAATATCATTTTCTTAAGTTACTGTATAACGCAATCTTCAATGACAAAGGAAAATTTTTTTTAAGAAAATACCATTTCTTTAACATTTTCTTATATATAATAATGTAATATCTTATACACTTGGAAGTATCATCATCATCATCATAATTTATTTTTTATTATCTTGGACTATCCAATATTAATCAAATAAAACTATGAGGTGTATAATTTTTGGTATACATATATATATATGCAAGTCATGATCATTTCACTTTCTAATTAAGCAACATAAGAAGTTGGTTTCAACAATTAATTAACCCTAAAAGCTAAAAATTGCAGAATGATAGCTTTTTGTCCTCCTCCTGTATTTCCAAGCTATGGGTGGCCTTTAGAGGATCCTATACCCAATCAACAAATCTATTTCTCTAGAGAAAATGAGAATAATAATAGCACTTTAGGTCAATCATTTCATAATTATCTTCAATCTCACCCACCAGATATATCAAAGCTTGATCCCTCCACATCTTTTACAGATTATACTGGTGATCCTAACATGGTTAAGAAGCTTAACCATAATGCAAGCGAACGCGATCGTCGTAAGAAGATGAACTGTCTCTTTTCTTCCCTCCGATCACTTCTTCCGGCAGCCGATCAAATGGTATTTAACATTTATTTTACTTCCACTATTTATTTGATTTGCCAAGAATTACAAGTTTATGATATTTGAACTAAGTAGCGTTAAAAAGATTCATACAGATGACACCAACTAGTTAAAGACTAAGTCTCGGTTGTTATTGTTTTCGTTGACAGAAGAAACTGAGCATACCGGCGACAGTGTCCCGGGTGCTAAAGTACATACCAGAGCTACAGAAAGAAGTGGAGATGCTGCTTCAAAAGAAAGAAGAAATTTTATCAGAGATATCAAAGCAAGACAAGCATCTTCTAAATCACATAGCAGAGCAAAGAAAAAGCAACAAAAAAAGCAGTGGTTCCTCAGTAGTCTCAGCTACTCAGCTTAGTGACACAGAAATTGTCATTCAAATCTCCACTCACAGTAATAATGTGCATACAATAACTCCATTTTCAGAAATCATACTTCACTTGCAAGAAGAGGGTTTCGTTTTGATAAATTCTTCTTCTTTTGAGTCTTCTGGAGGGAGGGTCTTCTACAATTTACTTCTTCAGGTACATATATATTTGCCTTTGCCACAATTTTATATGTTTCTGGTTTTTAAAATTTTTTTGCAAATTTTTCCAATCATATAAATAATTAAACATATGAAAATAATTAATCATATACATATTTTGTGAATTTCATTTCTAATTTATTTATTTGTTTTGGGTTTTATAGATGGAAGGAACTCAAAGATTAGAATCTGAAGCTCTACGCCAGAAGCTTGTGTCCTTATACGAGAGAAGGAAAGGAATGTTTCTTTGAATTTGGTATATTATAATATTTGATAATCTAATTGTAAATTGAGTATTCTCCAGAAGATTTTGCTTTTGGAATAATTGATCATTTGAGTGTCTAAATTTTTTGGAGTTCTAATATATTATTTAATATATAAATTAGCACTTAAAATATATAATTTCAAAAAATTTAGACACTCAAAACGTTATCATTCCTTTATTTTACAATATAATATCCAATATATTATATGTTATATTATCGTTATTATTTTTATGGATCCTTAAGGAAAAATGTTAACTAATTATTTTTATTTTGATATGTTGAGTTCCTAATTTTTTATAATTCTATTTGAATTTTTTAATTTGTTAATGTGTGTGTATATATATATATATATATATTCCAATAATTTTGTAAAAACTTTAATCTTGTAAATAAAGTCACTGATCCAAATATAACCGCTGTAAAAAATTTTGGAGTGGATTAAAATATTACTTTAGTGAAAGATGATAAGCTATAACATAAAATTTTTGAAAAATTCAAAGCCTATTTTATTTTATTTTATTAGAAACAAAAGAATAGATATTCCTCTAAATAGAAAAAAAGTATAAGAATAAAGTACAAATTAAAATATTACCTTTTGCATAAATAAAACAAACCATTTATATAGGCATTCTTATAAATATTTATTGTAACTAATAAATGTTATTTAATATTATATATTTATCTACTTTAATGAAAAATATATAATAAGTAAAATGAAAATAGAACTATATAATTTGAATGTGCATTTAAACTATTAAATTATTAGATAAATTAGGTTAGATTTTTAAATGTAAATTAAAAAAATTCCAAATAAATAAAAATTTAATCGAACAATGGTTACGTATCATCTACTTCCGATCTGAATCTATAACCCCACCTTATTTATTAAACGGATCAGGTAAAATCCATCCTATTAGGACATGATCAGAACGGGTATTCATCGGTTCGGCCTAATAAACAATGGGCCTTCCAGCTCCCTTTGGACAACTCTAATGTATGTCTAGGCCTCAATGGGCCCAATAATGGACAGAATCCAAGAAGTGAAGCTGAGTCTACAAAATTAATTTGTTTTATTATTGTAGGTGGACAGAGTAAAATGAATTTATTTGTGAGAGATTTTGTTTAATTTTTATTTCGACACACACACACACACATATATATACATCATTATAAAATATAAATAAAAAATTTATTTACAAAAAAATAAATTATAAATATATCTAAGATTTGATAATATATCTTTCTTCGGGTCCCTTTCTATCAATAGAAAAAAACCCAATCAAACCGCTAATGTTATGCTGAGATGTCCCAATTATGCCTTTGCCCTGTCTACGCGTTACGTGAAAAGTGAAAAAAGAGACCAAACATGCTCATGCTCAAGCTCATGTTCGTCTTCCCCTACAAATTCATTAGTGCCATTCCATCTGCACGCAGCCCACTTGCAATTTGTCTCTACAAAAGTACACAAACATGAAACCCATCCAACCTTTTCTCATGACACACATCACCCATTTGGGTTCTTATGTCATACAATTTGATAACATATTATTTCACATTAATAATTTTTAGAGATTTTAGCTTTTATGACAAACTATTTATGAGTTGGCATGTTCTTAGCGCAATTTTTGAATAATAATTTTCATATTTTTCAATCATCTAAGTAACTTAACTCCAAACGCTAGGCGTCCATTGACGGTAAGTTTTACAACATTTAAATTTTTTTAGCGAGTTAGATATATCAATTATTAATATACTTTTTTAAAAAAAAAGTGAAATATGAATAATTAATGGCCGGCTACAAAAAATTACTGGTCAGCCCTCATGTTGGATTCCTCTCAAGTCCTAGGATTAATTAAGAAAAGAGTTACATTATTTCATTTTTTAAAATCTTTTTTCATATAAAAAAGATACTAATGATTTTTTCACAATTATTCTAAGTGATAGCTAAAGAAATTATATTTCATAAATATGAAAAAAAAATTAATTTTTGAAGGCCGATTAGGTTATATAAATTTATAAAAATAAAGAATAAATTTATATGGGTTATCCTTATTTTATATACATATTGATTATTATCAATCTAAACTTTTCACATGGACCAAAAATTTAGTAGCATATAGGAATTATAACACATTAAGTAGGATAGTGATAACAAGAAAAACAATATGATGTGAGAAATGCACAATGCTTTTGCTCTTGTTTCCTACTTTCTCTTTAATTATGAATATTGCATTAACTAGAAAATGCAAAATGAATTTAGTCGAATCATATAATGATCTATATATTATGATTAAAAATTTGAAAATAATAAATCAAACTAAAATAATAATTAATAATTATAATATAAGATATAGGGCAATGAAGAACCTACATGAAATTACTACGTGCACTAGCAATGTCCTTAATATGCTCATTTGAAAAGCCTTAATGTCCGGTAATTTCCCTCATGTCAAAGCATGCTTCAACTTGATGTAACATTTTTTTTTTTTTTTGACATTAACTTGATGTAACATACATCGTCCTTAGTTACATGAACAAATAGTCATTCCAAGATTTCATTTTTTTTATTAAATCTATACATATTGAGAAATAATATGACTCCTATAGGTATAGGATAACGCAGGATAATAACACATCTTTAATGCGCTACGATACTGACCGAAGTAATCCATGTTATATTTCCAAGAAAAACTCCAACGACTTTCAATAAAAGGATAACTGTACTTGAAACTGACACAGGTGGGTAAGTAAAAAATATTTGGAGGCACAAGACAATTCTCTCTAAAGAACTCGGCAAAAATTTAGGTAAATGTTTGATATGTATAATATTTTCGATCTTATTTATCTAGATTTCACTCAATGACCTAATTGGTAATAACCCATTAAAAGTTAAGTGACTGTATATATTCTTGTGGCCTATTGACATTAATTCAATTACCATAAAATTATGATTTTAGTGAGGGAAAATTATTATTTTGTCCCTGAGGTTTACCATAATTGTTTAAGTAGTCATCGACATTTATACATATATTTATAACGTCCCTGAGGTTTGCCACCGTCATATTAATTGATCCTTCCGTAAAAAAAATACATTTTTTTCGTTTAAGTAGTCATCGACATTTATTACATATATTTATAACGTCCCTGAGGTTTGGCCACCGTCATATTAATTGATCCTTCCGTAAAAAAAATAATTTTTTTTTCGTTAATTTTGAGAGGAAAAGACCAAAATTTAATCCTTTGAAAAATAATTATTTTCGTCCCTGAGATTTGTTCATTAATTATTTAGTAGTCCCCGACATGTTATACAAAATATCCTATAACCGTTCCCTGAGGTTTACTTTCCGTCATATTAATGGGGTCCTTCCATTAAAAAAAAATTACTTTTCATTAATTTTGCAGTGGAAAAGACGAAATTATCCTTTAAAAGTGTTTATTAACATTATTGGTGAATCCTCTTTCCCGTCTAAAATACCTTAAACTCAAATTTCACCAATTCTTTCCCTCTTATTTTTTTTATTTTTTCTTCTTTCTTCTTTCTCTTTCTTCTCAAAACCCAACGCCGGTCTCCATTGCCACCATATGTCTTGGTCAAGTATCATCTCCATAACCAGATCACCCCAACCAAAACAAAACTAAAAGGGAAAATAATTATTTCGTCGCTGAGGTTTGCCATAATTATTTAAGTAGTCCCCGCCATTTATATAAATATTTATAACGTCCCCGAGGTTACTTCTGTCATATTACTTCGTCATTCCGTCCAAAAAACACACTTTTTGCTGTTAATTTTTAATAGAATGACCAAACTACCTTAAATCCTCTAATCAAAGAGAGAGAGATAAATGGATGAAGGGTAATGATGGCTTGATTAAGTTTGGATGTTAGGTTTTTGTTTTGGTGGTGATCTGGTTATGGAGATGATAGTTTTCATTGACATGGTGGTGGCAATGAAGACCGCGTTGGGTTGAGGAAGATGGTGAAAATATAAAGAATGGTGAAAATTATGAGTTTTTAGGTATTTTAGAGGAAAATGGATTTAATAATAATGTCAATTGAAAGACTTATAAAGGATAAGTTTCATTCTTTTTCAACTCAAAATCTAACGGAAAAAAGTGGTAATTTTTTTTTAATGGAAGAACCAATTAATATGACGGAAGTATAAGCTTCAGGATGTATAAATATTTGTATAAATGTCGGGAACTACTAATAATTATGGCAAATTTTCAGGGACGAAATAGTTATTTTTTCAAAAGATTAATTTCGTCTTCCTTTTCTTCATAATTAAATGGAAAAAATAATTATTTTTCCAAAAGATAATTTCGTCTTTTCTTCTCAAAATTAATGGAAAAAGTGTATTTTTTTTACGGAATGACCAATTAATATGACGATGGCAAACCTCATGGACGTTATAAATATATGTATAAATGTCGAGGACTACTTAAATAATTATGGCAAACCTCAGGGATAAAATAATGATTTTCCCTTTTATTGATAATTTCACTAACCATTAGTGAATCTAATTCATATTGGTTATCATATAGGTATAGTCTATAGAAGCAGCCCTATATATAATGTCTTTGACCAGATTGTGGTAATAATTCTAATTGGTCTGTTTAATACAAATTAAAAAAAAAGGTAAGGAATTTGAGTAATTGCGTAATATTTTCCAAGTTCAAAGCATATCTTGTGATTGACAATAACTGAACGGTATTTGGTCGGTATCCCTCTTTTTTATTTTCTAAAACCACTTCCTAACCACAATTTTAGAAATGCATTGTATGGGTTTGAGACTAGTTCATAAATCATCATTATAAATAGAGGGCTGAACAATATTTCAAGCACCACCAAAAAAATAAAAAAAGGCTTCGAATTTGAGATTTTGATATGGAAATTGACACGTCAATAGATTTGCCTATTCATTCTTTATTTTTTTATTATTATTTTCGGAACATCCGAACTCTTATTGGTCTCGATTATTATTATTAAATTTGCTGAATATATACTGTGTACAATAAATCTATGCATATAGAAATATCATGATTTCCATAGGTGGAATTCATTAGATAATAATACCTTTAAAAATTTGAATGCAAAAATCAACCTTTAATGCGCGCGCACATACATGCAGAATATTTTCGACCTTGTCTAACTAAATTTCACTTCAAATGCCTTAATTCAATTTTTTTTAGAAGACATAAATCTATAATAACCCCATCAAACTATAGGTGATTATATATATTATTATGACCAAATGATGATTTTTTTTCAGAAATATAATTCATTAATAATAAATCAAGTATTATAAATATTCAATTAGATTAAACATAGCACTTACTATCATAATTAATAGAAAATTCACTGATCCTTCAACAAGAAAAGAATTATCTATATTCTTTTGAATAATAAAACTAAAACTAAAAGAAATAATATTAGATTTTTCCGCTTTAAGATAATCTTGACTGATGTAAATCTTTATACTTAGATTGCTTTTCAAAAAACTTACTGCGTATGACGTACATGGATGAGTTCAAACCATTATGCGTTAATAACATCAATAGAGGAGCAAGTCACACTATCAGACTCCATTGATCAAAGATACACATCAGTAAAATAAGATCTAAATTCTCCAACAAAATAAAATCAAATATCATACCTTTTAAGAACAAACCTTCACAAGAAAGAACTAAACCCTTAGGAAGAAAGGATAAAAAAACTCCAAATATGGAGACAAAGCAACAATAACAAAAAAAAATAAAGAAAAAACAAATCTATTAAAAGAAAATAGATCAAAATTTATTAAACATGAATAAAAGATTAGGAGCTAGAAGAAAAAAGAAAAGTAGAGGCTACCGCTGATTAACAATGACAACCCCAAACAAAAGTTAGAATTAGATAAACTAGAGAGGAAAGAGATAACTGCATATACACTGATTATGACCAAATGATGATTTAATTAGCGACAATTTCACTAACCATATACTGAAATATTAAACAAAGTAAGAAATTTGACCAAATTGTGATACTACTGCTACTTGATGTCTTTAATTAATACAAATATTACACGTGACAAATTGAAAATATTAAATATAGTAAGAAAATTTGAGTAAAAATTGTGTTTCATTTTCCAAACTTAAATCATATTTTGTGATTGAAAATAAATGGACGGCATTTGGTAGAGATCCATCCTTTTGCTTTCTCTAAAACTCTATCTAAACACAATTTTAGAGATGCATTGAGTAAGTGTAAAAATATATCAAAAATCATCAATTATTTATATTTGTGATCATCATAAATTGATCCTAATGAGACCGCAACTATGTATTTGCCTACTTGTCTACTCTGAGCCTATATTGATTGTTATTTAAAAAATAATAATCATTCACTATTTTTTTTTTTTTTTTTTTCTGAGCTATATTGATTTGTAATTTAAAAAATAATAATTCATTCACTATTGTTTTTTTTTTTTTTTTTGATTCGTTGGATGGTTGTAATAGCTGGATAACATACGGTTTTTTTTTTTTTTTTTTTGATTCGTTGGAGGTTGTATGAGCTGGCATAACATTACGGGTTATACAATAAGAGTAACCCTCTTCTAGACTCACCAAATTGGTAAAAACACATGTACTTGAGAGGATTCGAACTACACCTGGGATCCGTTCAACAATCTTAGATGTTTTAATAACTGTCAGCGGCTTTACTATTACTTGTTAAATATTAGTTATTAGTGGTTAGCTGTTTATGAAGTGGTTTAGGATAAAACTGTTCAGTAAAATAATAATTTGATTAGCTATTTAATATAAAATGACAACAATATATGAAATAAAGCAACAAAAAAATATGGAGTGGGGAATAAGATAAGATAAAGCTAAACGCTAATAAAGTTAATGTTTCATGAAACGCGGACTCATATTTTAAACAAGTTAAGATAGATATTGTCCGAATATGTCCTGATTGGCCATTCACAATTATTATTATTTCATTTTTCTTTAACGAAAAGACATCCAAATCTTTATTGTCGTTGATGTATCGGGTATTATTGCATAAGTATATACATATTGATGAAGATTAGGAATTGCTTACCTCTGTATAATACAAATCTGATTTTCCTTTTTGGCTATGGTCATGAGATGTTTCAATATTAGGGGGCGTCACTGATAGCTTTCAGCAATTTTCAAATGATGTTAGTCAATACTCAAGTAGAATGCATGAACTAACCCCTCCTTCGGGTTTTCTTGTTCTTATTGTTCTTGTGTATATACATGCACGGCTCTTGATTTTCCGATTTTCCCTTACAAAATGACATTTTCACTCAAGAAAAAGGCAACATACCAACCTTTTGTACCAATGGGAAATTCTCGAAAAGTAGGAGGAAAAGAAATAATCCTAGAAGGCCAAAAAAAAAAATTAAGAAAAAAAGGTATTTTCAGAAATGAAATATAAATAAAATTCAATGAATAATATTTAACAATCTTTATTTTATTTTCATATATATATATAAATGAAATCTCTCAGAATATTATAAATATAATTATATTGATTCAGTTGAATCAGAAGTGGGACATGAATCTAACAACCATGACAAGCAGCTCCACATAATTAATTTCCATATTCCTTCTGAAAAAGCATCATTCTATCTTCTCCTTCCTTTTAACCCATAGATTTTTTCTCCATCTATATTTAAACTCTCGGTCTCTCAAACTTCCACAGAAAGCAAGTTTCAATAGTGTTTATTTTCACTCTAGAAGGTGGTGGTGATGGTGATGATTACGATCAGCTACCGGTGATTTTCATGTTCTATTCCCGGCTTACATCAATCATGGTCATGGTTCTACTTACTTTGTTTCTTCTAGTGTTGCCGCTTGTTCTGCCGCCGTTGCCGCCGCCGCCGTTAATCCTTCTCTTCATTCCGGTCTTAATCTTGAGCGGTTTGATTTTCTTGGCATATTCTCCTTCCAAGTTGCCTAATGCCGCAACCGTTAATGTTTGATCATATCAGAACCATCTTTTCTTTATGTCAACAAGGTCAGATATGCTTGTAACAGTATAGGATGCAAAGATTCTTATATTTTGTTTTTATGTAATTTATTCTTGAAATTGCTTTATTTATGCAAATATATGTAAGCACTAATCACTTAATATCATTTCTACAAAATGCTGAGAAAAACACAATTTTTTCCATTCTATTCAAATCTACGCATTTTCTTCTGCGCATACTTATATTTTGATAGAATTTCGGAATAGATCAGTGAAAATTCTTATTGTTGATACTGGAGAAGATAAATCAGACTGCAAGGAAGCGTGGTAGGGGAGGATAGGTTCGAACACTGATAGAGGCAGAAGCCGGACCACCGGAGCTATCTAGTCTAGCGTGCCGATTGAAAGAGGAGGGGAGACAACTAAATGCCAGCGAAAAAATAGAAAGAGTCAGTGCCGTTCAAAGTAAAAATTTTTCTAAGATCCATTGCTCGATTTTGCACTTGAGAATGGTTGTATTTCATCACAAGGCTAAACCTAATATTAATCTAGAAAAATTAATTATAAATATATATTTTTATCTTAATTTTTTTTTATATTTTGGGGGGGTTGGATGGGGTTTTGATTCTTTTGAACCGAATAATGTGAATCAGGTCAGTCAGGACAACCCAAAACATTTTTCAAGGTTACAGTGTAAATCTTGTGGTTTAGTGGTTCAAATATCATAATCTACCTTTTATGGACCGGACCAGTGGCCTACCATTTCGTACACTGGGCCGGCCGCCACGTTGCCTGAGGGATTGGCAAAAAAGTGAAAGAAAAAAGGGACGTTAATTGGATTTGTTCTTAGCTTTTTTTTTTTTTGAAACTTTAATTGTAAACAATTAGCAAATTTGATGTTTTAATTTAAAAAATTAATACAATAAAATATATTTCATTCACAAACAAAAACAATATGAAAAATTAAAAAATAATGAAACAAACGATAAATATTTTAATTTTACGGTCCATTAATTTCTGCAAAATAATATCTTTTTAAAAAGATAAAACAAGGAGATTTTTTTTTTACTTTTTTAAAAAATTAATGATTAAAAAAAAGTTGTTATTCTTCAAAGTTACATTTCTTGATTTTTTTTTTTTTTTTTTTTTAAAAATTAATGATTAAAAGTTGTTATTCTCAAGTTACATTTCTTGATTTTTTTTTTTTTTTTTTTTTTGAGTTTACATTTCTTTTTTTTTTTTTTTTTTTTTGAGTATTACATTTCTTGTACTTGCTAATGTATAATGAGCAAGTTTTTATTAAAAAAAAAAAAATGAAAAAGGAAGAGCAAGTTGAGTCCATCGAGTAATTTTCTGATCTTTCAATTACAAGTGCTGCCATTATTATAGGCTATTAAAAAGGAAGCAGTATCAACACAATTGATCCTTGATCATGAAATTGATAGATAATCTCAAAATAATAAAAATAATAATAATAATAAATCATTTATTAAACTGATTTGCAAGATTTAATAAAACAAAGTTGGCAGCAAAGAATGATGAGCTCCATCAATTATAGAACAGTGTCAGTGTCAGTATCAGTATCAGAGAGCCGTTCTTGATATCTACCTGTCAATGTCCTAATAAACTACTCCCTCAGCCCTCAACCCATTCTTGTTGCAGAGAGATACATTGCATTCTTTGGAAAAACAGTCCTTTATCATGTCCTTATCAATGGCCCAGATTCAGCAATTCCTCAATCATCAGAAATTGACTTATTTGAGGTCGACACTCTCTATTTCCAATCAAACCATTTCTGGGACTTTAAAGAACGTGTCATTACCTCCTCTTCTCTCCTAGATTTTTATTTCTCGTTTTTTAAAAAATTATTTTTCTTAACCCGCATGTAAAAGTGGATGAACAGAGTAAAATATGCATGAAGCAGCAGAATCCCTTTTCTGAAGAGACAATAAGAAGAAGAAGGCAACCCAAAATTCTTCAACACACGGCTATCTCAACTGCCAACAAAACAGCCTCAGCCCTCAGATTCTGCAAAGAGGATGGAAGAACAACATACATGACCAATTGTAGGGGGCCTAAATCATATGGGTGAGGCAACCAATTTTCTCTCCCATTGATCATTAATTATAAAGTGAATGTGGACGTTCTAGTACGTATACCATTCGAAAGCCAGTGAAAGATTTTGTTGTTTCATCTACATATCATGCTCCAATATTAATGTTTTCAAGATCCACCATCTGACTTCATTTGAATTAACTGGAGAAAATTCAAAACATTCAAATATATATGTATATATAAATGATTTTACGTCTTGCCACCTTAATTAAGATTCACCTTTTGAATTTGTCAATATAGATTCACCTTTTGAAATTTGTCAATATATATATATATATAATTAATAATATATATATATATATATAATATATTATTATATATATATTGAGTAGAGTATTTAGGAAGGGAATTCGAATCTCAATTAATTTTCAGATCATATATGTACTTACCATTCTAATTTTAGATTTGAATGAAATCTATAATAAATTTTAAAAATCTAAATATAGTTGATTTCATATGACCTTAAAATATGTATTATTTCAAATACTATAGATTCTAAAATTTTAAATTTCGAATCAAACTTAAAAATCCAAAAATATGTTAAGATTTAGAATTATAGATTTTTGTTTTTGTGGTTGGTGTTAAACCACAAAGTTGATTTGTTTGAACTTAATCCTGCTCGCAGTGCAGTTTAATGAAAAAGGACTCTGAAGATTTTCTCCATCCATAAAAAATAAATAATATTTTATTTAGTTAATAATTAGATTAGATTTTATTACTTAAAAAACACAAAATCTTTATAATTTTTTCCTAGTTATATATCTTGTTGCAACAAGATCTTAGACTCTAATTTTTTTTTTTTTTTTGAAAAAGTTGAATTCATAAGCTTAACAATGAATCTAGACATGAATAATATGGGACATGATCCCTAAAGAGGCCCCACACAATCCCATTTTTCTGAAGAAATTTCTCAAGAGCAAGAAAATATGACTCCCCATCACCATCCTTATGGTCGTTGTCACCAAAATTGTACAGGTATTTTAGGTCAGCAAGTCCTTACAAACAGATGAGTGTACTGTTACATTTACTTGCTTTACATTTTCTTTTATTGAAAAATATGATAATTTATTAATGGCATTGCAAATTTTCTTTCCAGAAATTTCCAAATGGAAAGAATAGTAAGGTGCATGCATGTACTGGTACACCACTTGACATATTGTATTGTCCTTAATCAGGCACCAAGGACATTGGAAACTAATTGCAGTGGTGGTTATTTGCTTGAAAACGACTCGTGCCATTTTCCACCAACAAACTTTGTGCCAATGAAATACAAGTAAAGAAAAACTAGAATAGTCCGAGCCAGGATTGAAGATAAAGGGGGAGAATTTTTTTTTTTTTTTTTTTTTTGGAAGATAAAGGGGGAGAATTTTTTTTTTTTTTTTTTTTTGAAATCAATTAAGAAAGTTACTTGTACATAGCAATCAGTTGGTGTGGATTAGTGATTAAGATCGATGATTCAAAAATTTTAAGGGATCGCAATCAGTTTGGTTGATGTTTTTGCCAAAAAAAGAGTTCTTGTAGATCGTTTGTTTCTAGCTTCGGTTTAATTTGTTTTGTTTCTTCGTCTGTTTCTTTTCAATCCTTCTTATCTTAACAAATGATTCTTTCTTTTTTTTTTCTTTTTTTTTTTTTTGACATGAATGAGATTAACGAAGGATTTTTTTTTTGTTTCCTTATTTATTTATTGAGGTATTTTCAAGTCCATAACTTTTTTTTTCTAATATATCAAAGTCTAGGTTGAATGTATTTGGAGAAAGTGTTGGTCCAAGTATAATATTTTTTTTTTTTAAATTAACTGTAATCGGATCCTATCATCAGGGATCGTCTAATTCAGTTTGCAGCTTACCCACTGTCAAGGCTTTTCGCCCTACTTACAAATATATTTAGTGGATATTAAACCCGAGAACTCTTCTCACGTACTTAATCTATGTTACCAACCGGAGCACAACCTGTAGGTAATATATTTTACATGATATTGAAAATAATTAATAAAGAAACATAACTTTCCTAATTAAAGGAAAAAAAAATTGACAATTCTTGATTAGTGATTCAAGTGTCAAACATAGCAGCTAGAAATCTTAATTTTCAGGGTTTTCGATGTAATTTAAAAGTTTCTTTTGGACTAAATTATGGAAAACCTAATAACCGACAAAATGAAAACTTATTCTAAAATTTGTAGTCAGAGAGAAAAGATTCCCTCTAACCTAGCTGGCAAATCTAGTGAACTGGGATTAATAACATTTGCTCAAAGGCAAGATGAATAATCAGAGGATTTGATCACATTATGGTTTTCCAAACGTGACGTAATTGCATTATGTTTCATTTACGTTTCAGTTAATCATTTAATGGAAAATTATTTGAATCTAATTGATTTAAAAAAAAAAAAGTTTTACTAGGCAAAATTAAGTATTTTAGACTCTGTTCGTTTATATATTAGTATTTTAGACATCTGTCGTTTATATATATATATATATATATTAAATATATATAATAATTATATATTATATTATATATATATATATATAAGCATAGCAGTTTGCATTATATGAAAGTTAAGTGTAAACCTTTAAAATTATCAAGTATGAGAAGGGACAATAATTATTTAGCATAGTCGTAAGAAGATAATGTGTAAAACGACAGTAATTTGTAAGAATATAAGCTGTTTTATATTTTTCGATAATGTCTTTATCATGATAATATCTATTAGTTACATCCCATCAATATAATACATTAAATTAAATTAAAATTTAATTAAAATATAAAAAACCTAAACCATAAAATAAGAAATAAATTTATATCAGGAGCTAAGATTGCAGGACACAGGACACGAGATACGGAACGAACGAGATATATGATAATAAATAAAAAATCATTTATAATAAATAAAAAAATAAAAAATACTTAATTTAAATTAAAATTAAAATTAAATACATATAATCCAAACTATAAAAAAATATTTAATTTCTTATTTTTAATAATTACCTTGATATATGGGTAGTTTTATATGCCAGAAGTTAGATTGCACAGACACGGAACACGACACGAGATACGGAAACATACGGGATATAATAAATAAACAATCATTTATAATAAATAATAAACATAAAATAAAAAAATACTTAATTTCTTATAATAAATAATAAACATAAAATAAAAAAATACTTAATTTCTTATTTCAATATAATTAGTTAAATTCTCAAAATTATTATCACCGTTGAAAAATCTACGTCTATCTATATCTATCTATCAAAATTACTTGGCATTATTTTGGATTACAGAATAACATATGTTAGAATCCACACAATTTAGTAAAAATATAAGAATTGTAAGAAGATCAATTGTTTTATATTTTCAGATAATCCCCTATCAAGATAATATCTATAAAAAAATTATCTCTAGCATTTAATTGAATATATTAATATAAATTTATTTCTTCTACAAAATAATTAACAAGTAATCCATATGTTTAAA